ACGGTTAACTCATTTCAAAATTTAGACATATTTTTTGTGAATTATTTAAAAATATACGGTTTTCAGATTTTTCTCTTCTGTACAAATTATTAGTTAGAAAAAATAAACAAAAACATTTGGTCGCCCTCAATGCCCACGCATACCGTTGCTTAATGATCTAAATAAAGGATCCGTTTTTTACCCGGCTGCGCAATGCAAGAGCGCGAAGCGCGACGCGCAGACAGGGTTATGTGTTTAACAGTCTATATATGTATGTTTGTTCCTTTGTGGCACACTAGAGACCAAACGCCTGGACCGATTTTGATGATTCATACATCAATCGATTCGTCTCAATCATGGGAGTGCTACTAAAGATATGATAGTAATCAAAATTCAATATGGGCAACATTAGGCGCCATATTGTGACGAAGTAAAAAAAATAAGTTGACAAAATATGTCGAGTGGGGTATCACTGTCTAGATAATCAAAAATCATATTTAGGTTCCTAACACCATTTTTCATTTTATATGATTGGTTAGGATCTACAACGCTTTAAAGTTGTATATTAACCACTTGCGCTTTTAATTTCAATCTTACGTTTGTATGGATCTTTGTTACTCTTTCACCTAAAAAATACTGAATGGATTTTAATGAAACTTAACAGTAATATAGCTCATATATGATAATTACATATATATAATAATTTATGTAGTTGTTGAGTGAATTGGCCAATATATAGCAATAAGTGTTACATAAGACGGAAAAAAATATCCCATCTGCGAGCCATTTTGGCCTGCACTGCAAAAACAATAAAAGTTACATGAATGTAATGTAGAGTGAAAATGTATCTCTTAAATAGTTCTAAAAAAAAGTCCGTGACACCATATATCTATTTTTAATGTGTAAGTCATTACCGCTAAAATAGTGAATCAAAACTTAAATATTATTTGATATCTATTTCCAAAATGCACATTTTGTATAAACAAATCATTTTTTATCAAAACAAATACTTTAATCGCTTTTGATATGTAAAAACTTTGCTTTTTACACTATGTCATTTCGACAAATATTTAAAAAGTTACAACGATGACAAAGTGATAGCGCGGTATACTATATAAAAGAAAATTTGATAATAAATGAGATTGCTATGGTGCTCTACCTAACGTTATGAAAATTTTATTATGCGCCTTTAGTTAAATCAAATATTATAAACTTTGCTTTGGTGATTGCATAATTATTTAATTTAGTGACCTAAGGCAGTTGCCACCATTGTCCAAAACAACAGACGGGAATTACTTCTTGCTTCAACCTGCGACATAAACGTCATTGATTGGTATTGTATATAGTATGATTAAAAACATTTGAAATTAACTTCTAGCATCTACATATTGGGTTTCTGTGAATTATGTAGGTATATCAAATTAAGTGACTAGGGACTGACACTGAATTTGTGTATATCACATTTTTGTTTTAATCTAAGATATCACAATCTTAGACGTCCGGCATTGACATGACAATGCAGCCACTGCCAATTTTAAATAGTGGACGAATAAAAGTAAATGAATTTTATATTTACTGCTAAACTATTAAAAAAAACATAAACAAAAGATGACTTTTTGAGTAAGTGCTAGTTTACTATAAAATTTACATACATTAGAGATATTTATGTAACGACTTGATTTAACTTCACACATTTTTGCGAAAATTGAGGCCCATCTGTAGCCTTGACCCCGCTGGTAAAGTCTTTATATGTCTTAATAAATCAATCTTTTAGACCGACGCAAGGTACTTAATAATTCCCGCGATATTAATTCCCTTAGAGAAGTAACAAGACTACGGTATATACCGTCTTAAAATACTAACTAAAAGTGTGAAATAAAAAAGGTAAATTTAAAAAATCAAAAAACCCGACTGCTTAATTATTCTTCAAATAAAAACTGAAAAGAAAAAAACAAGTCCAGTAGTCTATAATTCTGTTAATAAGGAACAAAGCTACTTTAACAGTCGGGACCCACTGTTGAAAAATATTATGTATTCTTGAATATCTAATGGGTCCCGACTGTTAAAGTAGCTTTGTTCCTTATTAACAGAATTATAGACTACTGGACTTGTTTTTTTCTTTTCAGTTTTTATTTGAAGAATAATTAAGCAGTCGGGTTTTTTGATTTTTTAAATTTACCTTTTTTTGATTTTGAGGTATGGAAAAAAATGAAAATAAAGCAGCTCGGAATAAATTATACAATTTTATTGCTTTCACTGACATGCCTTGCGTGACTGCTAAGTGTAAAGCTGTTAAAATATTTCATAGTTCATCATTAGATTTACAAAATGCATTTGGTTGGTTGGTTTATAATACTAAATGTTGATTATTTTAATTAGGTGTAGTTTAATTACATGTGTTTAGTTTTTGAAATATTGTATCAGTAATAATAAGAATATTTTGTTTATTTTACATTTAAGAACACTTAATTTTAAATACAGCAGTATGACACAAGTTAAAGCAACCAAATAATTGCAAACATACATAATATTAAACACCTGTATATACACGGAAATCTAACAAATAATTACATTATTGTTTATCACTCAAAATTTCTATGATGGGATTGGTCCATCGTTGAATTAATCCACTGAAATAAATGAAGAAATAATCGCACGAGCGCAAGCGCCTTTTTGTTACAAGAATAAACCCTCGATGTTTAAGCACAGAATGCTTTATTTTTTTTAATTTATGCTCAACACCGTACGTCTTAACAACGCTGCCGTCCGATAAAAAAAGAGCCGATTTAATGAGCGTCCTAGTGTGAACACATAGGAAAAGTCACGACGTTTTTTCGAAGAGTTAGAAATGACGTTGAGAAAAAGCACTCGTGATATCAATCTTTAGGGATTACGTATCCTAAAAATTGATTTTGTGATACTGTCAGTTTTAATTTAAAGATACGACGTTGCTCATTTGAACAGATAAAAAGACCTTCCGTTAAACCTTTTTTTTTGCTACGCATCGCCAGAATCACCCATATTTTAGATTAGATGCAATGCAATGCAGTATCTTATACGAAAGTAACAAAGTAAGAAGCTCTATTGTAAAACATCAACTGCAGAAACGTTTAATGGGTATTGTATTGCAATAATGAAGGACATCTATCATCAATGCTCATGAATTTGGTAATACAAGCTATTGTTTGTTTATTAAGTTAAAAAAAGAACAAAATACAAAGTTACTCAAAAGTATAAAGATATGTTTATGAGACTCAATTATTTACAAATGTTAGTAATAATTTAATAAGTACACGGATACCTATGACCTACAAAACTGTTAGGTAGAAATAACAAAAACATGTTCATTCATATAAAAGTATTTACTAAGGTGGCCAAATATACTTATGGCGCAATTACATTTGGTCGCTAACCCGAATAAGATTGCCTATGGAATTCGGACAAACGACTAAGTGTAAATGGATAGAGTCGAGTACGCCCGTTTTCGGAAAATTTTCTTCTTGGTTACCCGACGCTGTCTTCTAGCTCGTGTTCGAGTAAAACAATGTAAATATTTCATCAAATTCCGAAACCCGAATACGGGCTAACGACCAAATGTGAATGCGCCTTTAAGTAAAGACAAAGAGATTTTAAGAATGTTGCAGTTGTTAAAACATATTCAATTATGTTATGGTTTCAATTCATTAATTTACAAGAGTAGGGCGAACTCAATGTGTCACAGAAACAACAAATTAACCTCTATTTGTGAGAATATGATATAGTAGTATAAATCGTCCATCTTTGAGGTTCTGTCTTCTTCAATCAAAAACATCGAAAAAAATGCATAATACCTTTTCTCTATCAAGTTTTTTTTTCAGATCAAAAAAAATATCAGTTTATCCTCAAATAAAAAATACAATTTGCTGCTTAAATTCTATACTTATTATGATATAAATAAATAAATAATAATAAATTATTATTTATATAAATCTCAATCTTCCAAGGTACATAAGTATTCAATGAAGATAGAATTCGTAAGTAGTTTTTGAGAACACATACACCGGATGCTTCATGAAAACTCAAAATTCTCTTTTCAGTATAAATTCAGGACAGATAGTTATGTTAAAAAATTATCTTTATTATATAGAGAGTAAATTAACTTTTATTTCACTTTGCATATAAAACTAGTGATAACCGTCTAGGCTTTGGTTATTGGAATCACGTTGGAATGGCCTGGCCGTGTGTGATTAATAATAATTTCCATTGGGAATGGGAAAAACCTAGTTTAAGATAGCGTAGGAACTGTAACTTAGTATAAATACAACGCAAACAAACAGAATCGATAAACATTACACCACGCTATGTAGGTAGAGAGGCATCCATCCCTGTTCTTGGATCACGTTAACTGATGAGGCAAAGGGCGGATCCAGGAGGGGGGGAGGTCATGGGGATCATGACCCTCCCTGGCGCCAAAGCTGAATCCGCCCTTGGATGAGGTATGACATAGTTCGTAGCAATTTTACTATTTTATACATATTTAAAAAAGGTAAAATATGATTATTATAGGAATTAATGTGTTAGGCAACCTGTATGACGACAACCGCATTACGTTTTTAAAAAAATTCCATACAATTAAAATCTACATAAAAAAAAAACTATCTCAATTCTCACGATAATTTCATAAATATAAAGTGTTGCCTACTTACAGTCGAATGATAATTAACTTAGCGACAAGACTGATTTCGGACACAATAATTTGTCCGTGTCAATTCTTGACCCTGAGTTCTATATAATCTCATATTTATCGACATGATTCTGTATTTGCCAATATAAGATGTAAGTATGATTTATTTCTAAAATCTGCGAAGAGGACTATAAATAATTAATGATATCTTTTATATACAAAAAAATATAAATATTTTGTGTACAGGTAATAAGTTACCTATGTAGGTATTATTTGAACAATGTTTGAGGGTAAAACCTTTAAATATAAAGAAAGATTTTTAGACAAAAAAAGGAATCCACGAGGTTGTACAGTTCAAGGGATTTAAGGATAGAGAACAATGTTAATCAACGAAGTGTCTTAAAGTGTAATATTTAATTAAATATACATAAACACTTTTACAATTAATCCTCTGTGTTCAGTCGCATCTTTATTTACACGTCATATTTAGTGTGAAACAGTGAAAAATGTGTGATTACTGGTGGTGGTAGTGATAGGCGGTATGGTCGGCAGCTGTGGCGTAGGGTACACGCGGCACGGAGCGCCGGCGGGCGCGCCTAACATGCTCAGCAATAGGTATGAGACTAGCGAGCCTGATAGGAGACCACCATTGTACGATAACGTCATCATGTTACCTGCAAATAAAATGAGTAGGTACCATTAATCATTGATGAGATGACTCAGGGCCGTAGATAGCCCCCCCCCCCTAGGGCAATGTCCTACCTGTAATTACCTTCTATTAAGACTGAACCTTATATACTCGATTTTGGCAAAATCTATACACATAATAAAATGGTACGAAAGTCAAAACTGTACATTGAATATTTTTTTATAAGAATACTTGGGGTGTGATCTACAATAGATACGGAAGCCAAAAATACAGTTTTTAGAATTTTTGTCTGTTTCTTCGTATGTATGTCCGGGATAAACTCAAAAAGTACTGCATGGATTTACTTCAAATTTGGCACATATATTATAAAGAAGTCGGGTCAACATATAGGCTACATATTCACGCTATCACCTACGGGGAACGAGCAGTGACACCTTTATTTCTTCAACGCATTCTGTAACAACGTGTAATCTAATGACGCATATTTGAATTTTGTTATTATGTTAACCATGCTAGCTAGCTAGCTTCACACTATAGGTAACTTAGGCCGATAAACATAATAGACAATTTTAAAGCAGCGCCATTTATGAGATTTCAAACACATAAAGTCAAATTACATGTGTAAGCACTTTTTGGATATAAATAAATCTATGAGATTTCAAAAACATCAAGTCGAATTACATGTGTAAGCACTCTTTGGATATAAATAATTTAAATTTGATCATGTGGGCGAGGTCAATAGTTGTTGTTTAACGTCACAGATGGAGATGTGCATTTTCTTCTTAAAAATTGTATCGTTAATTCTCCCCATCTGCTTCAGTCACAACTTATGACTTAATTCAGCAGAATCACCATAAAGTCATTTATTCAAAGCAGGCTGAAAATTTGCACTTTTTGAAGTCAAGTCAATTTTACAAAAGACAGGCTCCCTCTGTTACTGCACTTTCTGTAGATATATGAAATGTAAAGAAGGAACGGGTAAATGAATGTTATTTGAAAAGTTATATTCGTAGGTATTGTTATTGCTGTATAGCGTTCATGCAGACGACGTCGCAGCGATATACCACTCACTGGTTAATCACGAAATCTCAAAAACTATAACATCTACAAACTTAAAATGTGGCAGGTAGGTTCCTTATAGGGTGCAGATATCCGCTAAGATCGAATTTCACGAAACTCCACCCCTAAGGGGGTACACGGGGTTTGGAAGTTTGTATGAAAGTGTAAGAAACTTGAAATTTAACAATCTATAGATGGTGTAGAGGTGTACTAATAATGTATCTTTAGAAATAAACCCCCTTTTGGGGTCAAAAAGTATTTGCAAACTACTAACTCCACGCATACGAAGTCGCGGGCAGCCGCTAGTCTAAACACAATTACATTTTTGTAATAGTTAATTGTTCTATTACACAGTTTTAACTTTAACTGTGTCTATATGGTACAGACAGGTGCTTAACTTAGGAACCACCTGAGATAAAATGTCGTATAACAAGACAAAGTATATTGCTATAACGAGGCAATATATAGATAGGCACGGTTTACATGACACAGAGACAATGATTTTGCACATTAAAGCTATTTTCAGCTGCGCCCGCTACGACGGGCGACCGGACCGCATCTTGCGTTATGTAAAATGTATCGTTTAAAAAATTAGGGCTTTGTTTTTTTCTTAATTTGTTTTTTTCAGAGATTAGTTTTTTCCTCTGAAAAGCTAATGTTTTAATAAGCTTATGTTGCCGCTGATCAGATGTATTGCTTCAAAGAACTAATATTTTTCAAATGCGCTCTGTTAACTGAATTCATACTTCAAACAAAGATAAACAAAACGGAGAATTGGAGGATTAAATCGTGAGCCTTGGTTGGTAATTTTTAACTAAAAAGTGTGTAAGGCTTTGATATAAACAGAAATTTCTAATATAAACTTATAAGCATTGATCTTTAACGGAAACTTCCTTAATACTTAAAGTATTCGATACTTTAAGTACTGTTTTGAAAAAATATGTTCCAAAAAAACACATTTTATTCACGTTTTTTTTCAAGGTTTTTTTTCACGATAGAGAAACAACAGAGTTTTTGCATCTCTAATGCTGCATAGGACTATTATTTCTAGCTGGTTATTAAACTGATAGTTGTTAAACATAAACAAGTCTAGGATGAAGGATTTTACTCCAAGCTCTAACAAGACAATTAGATATATGTCGAAGTTATATAGTTATATTATGAAAAATAAAATCTTATTAAAATAAAAAAACACTCAATTATTTAAAGCCTAGGATTAGTTTAGAAGACCTCCATGATCGAATTTACTGAATTTATTTACCCACATTCAACTGTCGACTTCGGTGACTTTCGAGATTCGGGCAAATAAAAGGTGTCGACCAATTTTTTTCAGTCATTTAAGGGGTTCTAGTTTCAGAAAATCGTAAACGAACCCATGTTTGTTTACGATTTTCTGAATTCGATGGCTTAAGATAAATCAAAAAATATATATTTTTAATGGTGGTCGTCTCAGGGTAGCGAATAAATAGAGCTTGTCGACCCTTGACATTTCTATTCTACTCATCAAAAGCTTTCGTTTGACATACATTTTCTTGATGTATTTGATAAATTAAAAACCGGAAGTGACGTTTTAATTTTGCATGCGGGCAAGCATTTTTAGGGGTGCTCTAGACCTGTTCATACCCCAAAAATCATTCATGTAACTGATCCATAGGACTTTTATACAGCCGGCTCTCCGACTATAAGTAAAACGTTACTTTGTGGTGAAAGTTCGTAAATATCAAACGTCTTAAAAATAGATGAAGTTAAACAACCTGGGGGAAGTAAGGTTACTTACCTGCAATTTCTCTATGTTCGCGCCCCACGCGCGACGGTGCCATTATCATGGGCACGGAGCCGAACAAACCGTTGCTGAAGCCGAGGACAATCGAAAACATAATGGGGTATATCTAAATGAAGAACAAAACACAATTATTAAAAATATAAAATGCCAAATACTACTACTATCCTACCATATAATATTATTAATGTCAAAGCTTGCGTGTTTGTTACTCAATCCTCAGAATACAGAACAAACAATCATGCAAAAAGTACTGATCGGATTTGGATGAAAATTGGTACGCATATATTTTATGTCCTTAATTTAGACCTTGGATATTTTTATACCGGAAAAATTACGATTCCTGAGGCATTCTCAAAAAACTAAACGCGGAAGAAGTCGCGGGTGGCAGCTACTAATATACCTAATAAATACGAAAGTGTGTTTCTTAAGCTTTCACGCCTGAACCACTGAATCGATTATCGAGATGGATTGAACGCTGGAGACGATTAAAGGCAGTGAAATATACTTTTGTATATAATAATAAAACTTGACGTGGGTATAATGGGGGATGAAACTCTGTTTGGGAAATCCGGGCAGCTCCTAGGGCTAGGGATGTATAATTTACGAGTAATTTTTCTATGGAGTTTGGTGACATCGGTGGTACAATAGTATTTCAGATTGCAGATAAGATGATCACAAAAATAGATTTTTTCTTCAAGATCTTCCATGTATGTAAAACAATATTGTGCACGGACCATATAATATAAACAATATTGTTAAATAACCTAACATTAGTCGGTGCATGGGGGAATAATGGAGCTGTGCACGCATCATTCATATCTTATCTTAATAATAATATATATAAATTACACGTCACGTTGTTTGTCCGGGATGGACTCCTAACCTACTTAATCGATTTTAATCAAATTTGCATACCGTGTGCAGTTTGATCCAACTTGAAAGATAGGATAGCTAACATCACAATTTATAGTCGCAATATATGGAAAAAAGATAATGTAAGCGGTAAACAGTTCGCCAGGTCAGCCAGTATATATGTATACATATATATAGTCACGTGTGACGCTCGTAGCATTTCAGCTTTCGCCGAGTCACCCTCCAATATTTCATACTCGTTGAGAAGAGCTGCTGCACGCATCCCATGCACAGATTCACACACATACATATAATATATATATATATACCTACACAGTCAGGTCATAAGTATTGTCACACAGTAAAAACTTTTCATTTAGAATGCTGGTCACAAAAAAGTTTATTAAATTCGAATTTCGATTGTTCATGAAAATAAAAATGTATACTTTTTAGAATTTTACTCATTTTTAAACATGGAATGGACGATTAAAGAAGACCGTGTTGCAGTTATTGCGTTGCATCGTTGCGGTTACGCGCCAATTCAAATTAAAATTTCAATATAACCAAAAGATTCGTTTATCGTACCATCAAACGATACAATGAAGACTCTAGTGTAGATGACAGGTCAAGAAGTGGTCGCCCTCGGTCTGTTAGGACTCCAGCAGTGATAAAAGCTGTGAAGGCACGAATTCAAAGTAATCCCAAACGTAAGCAGAAACTGTTGGCCCTTCAGATTGGGTTAAGCAGAACCAAGGTGAAAAGGGTGTTAAATGAAGACTTAGGGCTTCGGGCATATCGAAGGAAAACAAGACATCGTTTGAATGCTCGTCTAATGGACCTGAGACTGAAGAGATGCCGCGCTTTGTTGAAGCGGTACGCGGGAAAAAAATATCGGGAAATTCTTTTCTCGGATGAAAAAATTTTACCGTAGAAGAGAGCTACAACAAACGAAATGATAAGGTGTACGCACACAGTAGTGAAGAAGCGAGCAACCGTATTCCGCGTGTCCACCGAGGTCATTTTCCATCCTCGCTCATGATATGGTTGGGAGTTTCTTTTTGGGGCTTAACATGAGGTACATTTTTGTGAGAAAGGTGTAAAGCCGAATGCAGTTGTGTATCAAAATACAGTCCTGACGAATCTTGTGGAACCTGTTTCTCATACCATGTTCAATAACAGGCATTGGGTATTCCAACAACATTCGGCACCAGCTCATAGAGCGAAGAGCACACAAGACTGGCTGGCGGCGTGTGAAATCAACTTCATCCGGTAAGAAGACTAGCCCTCTTCCAGTCCAGATTTGAGACCGTTAGATTACAAGATATGGCAACACTTGGAGGAAAAGGCGTGCTCAAAGTCTCATCCCAATTTGGAGTCACTCAACACATCCTTGATTAAGGCAGCCGCCGATATTGACATGGACCTCGTTCGTGCTGCGATAGACGACTGGCCGCGCAGATTGAAGGCCTGTATTTAAAATCACGGAGGTCATTTTGAATAAACTTTATTGTCATAAGAATCTATGTTTTGTTAAGTTCATTTTGGTGTATAAATGGTTACATAATGAATAAACTTGTTTCAATTATTTTATATTAAACATGTGACAGAATTTATGACGTGACTTGGTATATAAGCATCACACGACATTTAAAGTCATACTAGGTGTCCCGCGAACTTCGTACCGCCATACAAAATAGGGGTTGGTGGTAGATGGGTGAAAATTTAGGGTTGTATGTATTTTTGGACAAATTTTTTTGTTAAAAAAAAATAACCAAAAAGAAAATTAAGGGTGGACCACCCTTAACATTTTCGGGGATGAAAAATAGATGTTGTCCGATTCTCAGACCTACTGAATACGCATACAAAATTTCACGAAAATCGGTCGAGCCGTTTCGGAATAGTTCAATTACGCACACCGTGACACGTTTTCATAGATTTTTTCCATTTACACCCCGTCCGAAAAGAAGTTTCACTTCAAAAAGGTTAAAAAGATTTGTGCATGAGTCGTGTAATTATGTTTAAATAAGACACAGTAGAAGATACCTATATTATGGAAATAAATAATTCTGAACTTCATCCAAACGAGGTTGCTAACAAAAGTTTTAATAGTCTGATAACAGAGTTTACATCGCCCACAATGTGTGCGGCGAGTGCCTGGGCGCAGCGCAGAGCAGCAGCCGCACTCCGCTTGCCATCAACAGCTGACTGCGGTTTCACTTGTACGGCACGCTACTGCTATCTGTCAATTATTTTCAGTTCTAGTAGGCTAATATAATGGAACTTACATCACCCACAATGTGCGGCGACGGTCAGGGCGCAGCGCAGAGCAGCAGAAGAAGCGGCACCAGTTACAATCGCACTCCGCTCACCCTCACCATCAACAACTAACTGCTGCTCCATTCGTACGGCCACGCTGCTGCTATCTGTCAATTATTTAAAGTTCTAGTAGGCTAACATAATGGATCTTACATCGCCCACAATGTGTGGTGAGTGCATGGGCGCAGCGCAGAGCAGCAGGAGCGGCATCAGAAGCAGCCGCTCTCCGCTTGCCATCAACAGCTTACTACGGATCCACTCGTACGGCCACGCTGATGCTATCTGTTAATTGTTTTAAGTTCTAGTAGGCTAACAGAATGGTGCTTACATCGCCCACAATGTGCGGCGAGTGTCTGGGCGCAGCGCAGAGCAGCATGAGCGGCACTAGCAGCAGCCGCACTCCGCTCGCCATCAACAGCTGACTGCGACTCCACTCGTATGGCCAGGCTGCTGCAATCTAAAAAACATATTCTCTTTTTTTATATCATGTAAGCGTTATTATGCTTCGCTGCTCAAATCTCAAGAATAATTAACTTGTAGTAGTTTGCCTTAGCACCTACGGCCAGTCACGATTGTCTAAAGCGAGAATTTAAAAAGTTTTTGACAGTTCCTGTCTCTGCTCAGTGCGCGCCAACTTGAATATCATTATCTGTTTTCGTGCTTTGTTTTTTAATTCAAGCTTTTATGTGATGATATTACTTTTTTGTATATTTAAAGTGTGAAAAAAGTATATACAGGACTTCAAATACCTAAATCCCACCAAAAAAATTTTGTAAAAAACTAGCTAAGTCTCGATGGAGCTGCTTGTTTATCTCTAAAAAGTAATGAAATCTAGACAAAGTCGTGCCAAGTCTAAGGTTCCTTACTGCGATTTCTTTATTATTATAGTTACCAGGGAACTTTTTATTAAACAAATAACTATAATTACGTCACAACAATATCAAACTTAAAACTTATCATTAAAAATTAACCCTAAAATATTAATATACATATTCACAAGAGGAATATGTCATCCAAAATTCCAATTTGGGGCATGGTACCCAGAACACTGGCAGCATTACCTCGCTGAACGGCTAAACTGATTCTCTGCGCGAAATTATTATAGTTAATGTTGTGTGACTTGGCCGTTGAAGGATACACAAGGGTACAAAACCAGGTGCTACATGACACCACCGATATTAAAGATATGCACAAGATGGAAAGTAAAAACCAAAAAGAAGTTTGTTCGATTTACACTCATAGGTACATTACTTAAACCCTATTCAAATGCAAAGTTCAAGGCGAAAATTAAACAATTTCAAGTACCTATTTGCTATAATTTCCCCCTTCCCTCGGACCTCAGCGGAGTTCAGACGCGTTTTTGGTTAACTTAATTTGCGCTTTTTAAATTTTTAAATACAATATTAATCATAGAAAATAAAAGTGACTAAAATAGGAGTGCATAAACGGAAGAAGCTCTGATTCTGTGCCCCCACCAGCTATGACAGTCTTCCGTTGCGGGACACCGCCCATCATCGGCAGTTGCTCCGCAATTTTAAGGCGTGCAGCAGTGCCCCCCAATCCTGCGTTTTGTGTCTCACTTTTCCGCACACTGGACTGGTGCGTATTATGAGAGAGAGGTTCGTTGTTTGTTGCTTGCTGTGCTCCTAGTACCCTGAGTGGTGGCTGATATTGCTGTTTCGCCTGCGGTGATTTCGCCGGTTTCTGGTTGCCTGGTACTTTTTTTGCAGTACGGAGCTGCGTTACTTGACTTGCCTTTAAATAGTGCCATTAGGCTCTCCTGATTGCGGATATTCCTGGACTATTTAAAAACCGAACAAAAACAATGCCACTAAAGAGGACTCCTCCGCCCACTGCTGCTTCCCCGACTAGAAGTGAATCCGAACCTGATCTAGCCGGAAATCGTTCCTCTCAGGAGCAACATGCGACTGTTCACAGTAGGCAGAAGCGTGTGAGGGAGGAGGTGTCACTGATTGAATTCATGGACGATATCAGGAGTACTTTGAATAAGTTTAGAGAGGTTCAGGATCGAAAGCTTGATATTCTGCAGAAATCCATTGCAGAAATGAAGCAGCGACAGGAAGAAAAGTTGGACTCGCTACAGGGTATAATAGCAGAAATCAGGGAAAAACGATAATATACAGTCCTCAATTGAGTTCTTATCTGAACAAAATAAAGAACTCAAACAAAGAGTAAGTAGGATAGAAACGGAGAATGGTGATAATATTGCTAACATTCGCACCTTGGAGGACAAAATTAAGGCACTACAACAAAAATCTAGATTTTCATCAATTGAAATTAGAAACATTCCAATTTCTAAAGCGGAAACAAAAGCAGACCTTCTGAACATATTTACAAGTTTATCTTCGGTTTTGAATGCAGGTGCGTCGACTTCTGATATTCATGACATATATAGAATATCAACAAAAGACAAGAGCAATAAACCCATTGTATGCAAATTAAATAGTGTATTGATGAAAGAAAAGATTCTTACGTGCTATAAGAACTTTAATAAAACTCACAAAGAGAACAGGTTAAACACTGAGCACCTACACCTACGTTGTGAACTTCATAAACAAATATATCTATCAGATAATCTTTCACCTAAGATGAAAAGATTACTTTCTTGCGCGTGATTTCGCAAGCTCCAATAATTACTCCTTTTGCTGGGTGGCCCATGGGCATATTTATCTACGAAAAAAAGAAGGTGACAAAACTATCCGGATAAATGAAGAATCTGACCTTAATAAATTAAAAGAAACAGAATGACTATTTGTAATTGATGCTGATACAATTTTCTCTGCGTTATTTTTTGCATGTAAATTGTGGCTATCTGTTGTGCTCATAAATCAAATGCTTCATAATTTAAATTATTCATACTATCATATTTACTTGTGTACTTTGCTTTTAACAAATAAGACACTGCAAATAGATATATCAAGTTCGCTTTTGCGGTGCCAAATGAGTCGCTCAATGTCCGTCATATTAGTACTACTAACCACTCAATGCTATACTTTTTTCATAGTCTATTCTGGCGAATGTGTGAACTTGTGGCTTCTATCCATACTCGTACCAACCTTCCACCAAAAACCAAAGATCGTAAAATTATTAATATTCATTTTTCAGATCCTACGCTGCTGCCTTCATATACTCCCTTTAATATCATACTTTTATCATGCTTAATACAAATATCATAGATGACTTTGATCAGTTTCAAGTTTCTCGTTCGTATAATTGTTTGCCGGAAAACTGTAAATCGTTTCTAAATAATCCCAACAAATCTTTCAATGTTTTTCAGGTAAACATTTTCTAATGTTAAACTGTAAAACTGTAATTTTTCTAAATTACTCACTCTGTTGCAGCGAATTGATATTCCATTGGATATAATTGTTCTCACTGAATGTTGGTTAAGCAAATGCCCCTTGCTTCCACTATTACCTGGGTATGTTTCTATGAAGTCAGATTATTCCAATCAAAATGACGGTGTAGTCATATATATATTAAAGAAGACATCCCTTTTAGTCATGAGGTAATTGTAATGAATAACGCTAGCGGTATTCTTCTGAAATTATCTTCCAGTTTTGCTATCATCGCTCTTTATCGCTCGCCGTCTCAAAGAGACATAGACAACTTCTTATGTTGCCTTGATAATACTTTGAAAAACTTAAGGTCTTATGATAATATCGTAATTGTGGGTGATTTCAATATTAACATTGCTCGAGATAATAACGACCCTCAATGTGATTACTATCTAAATGCCGTACTCGAAATAGGAATTGTCTTGATCATGTGATTATGAAAACAAAATCCAATGCAGTGACCTTAGTGTTAGACTCACTAATAACAGATCATGCCGCTATTGTTCTTTGCTCTAGTCATAAAACAAAGACCCTTAAAAATCGCTCAACAACTAAACGCATTAATGTCACAGCCTGCGTTGAGCGCCTAAATGAAATTGACTTTTCTCCAATACTCACATGTTCTGATCCTGAATTAGCAACAAATATTTTTGTTGACTTAGTTTCGAATGTAGTAAAAAATCATACACAAAATTCCATTATTCCTAGTAGAAAAAGGATTATTAAGCCTTGGATCACACCTGGTTTACTGCGTTGTTTAAGACATCGTGACAAATTATATCAAAATACAAAAAAAGAACCCAATAATCTTATTCTTCTTACGACTTATAAAAGATATAAATTTTTTTGTAACAATTTAATAAAGAAAATAAAACGGCAATACGAAATCAAACAATTTGAACTAGCTAGAAATAATACAAAAGTAACCTGGGATTTAATAAAAAAGGTGACAAATCTTAATAAATCACCAAACCCATCAAAAGAATTGCTAGCATTATCTAGTGACCCATCTTCCTCAGTTGACGTAGTAAACAATTTTTTCGCAAACGTAGGTGAAAGTCTGGCATCGAAAATTGATTCTTCTTCTGTAAGTCTTGTTTTTGGATCTTTATTTGGCAACAAAAATCCCCCGCTTAGCTCTATGACTCTCTTTAGTACCGACTGCGAAGAAATTGATCGGTTGATTGATGGATTGAGGGGCACATCTGCTACCGGCTGGGATGGTATCTCCGCATCGTTGATAAAGGCAGCCAAATTCACTCTTCTACCAGTACTTACACATATTTTTAACCTATGTCTTTCGTGTGGTATCTTCCCGCAAGCAATGAAAAAGGCTCTAGTTCATCCAGTTTTTAAGTCAGGAAGCAGAGACTGTGTTTCAAATTATCGTCCAATATCGGTACTGACGACGTTATCAAAACTTTTGGAAAAAATAATCAATACTAGACTGACAGGATACTTAACGGATAGGCAAATTATAGCTGCTAATCAGTTCGGGTTCACAAAGGGTAAGTCTACTGAAGATGCAGTGTTATCATTAACCGAAACAGTTGTTACAAACCTCACGAACAAACAAAAATCAATTGGTATCTTCCTGGACTTGTCAAAGGCATTTGACACTGTTTCCATTCCAATTTTGATTAGAAAGCTGGAGAATATTGGTGTGAGAGGTACTGCTTTGGACATGTTCAGTAGCTATTTAAGTAACCGGTCACAGTGCGTTCTGGTGGATGGAATCATTAGTAATGAAGTAGAGCTAAAGTTCGGTATGCCTCAGGGTAGCGTCCTCGGCCCTACCCTCTTTTTAGTTTACATAAATGATCTCTGCAATATGTCATTGCCAAACTGCAAAATTATTACCTACGCAGATGACACAGTTCTACTGGCTCACGGTAGAGACTGGTTGGAGACTAAAAAATATGCTGAATATGCTCTTGGTGCTGTTAATGCATGGTTGATCTACAACTCTCTTACTCTCAACTTAGACAAGACAAACTATATGGCTTTTGCACCAAAATGTTCATCTCTTCCTGCGCCTAACTTTATTGTCCAAGCTCATAATCAGAACTGCCCCGGAATGTCAAATTGTGGATGTATGATACTGCAGAGTAAATTAAAACTTAAGTACCTTGGTGTTTGGCTGGATTACTCACTCACATGGGATGAGCATATTAAGGTAACTTCTAACCGTACGAGGAAACTCATGTATATTTTTAAAACCCTACGTAATTTACTTGATGCTTCTACACTTAAATCTGTATATTTGGCCCTCGCTCAGTCCGTATTATCATACTGTGTTACGGTATGGGGGGGAGCCAATAAGTCCCTTTTATTACGCTTTGAAAGAGCTCAAAGAGGTGTGTTAAAAGTTAGGACCTTCAAGCCTATTCTATATCCAACTTCTCAATTATATGAGGACACTGGTGTACTAACTGTGCGTCAGTTATTCATCATGCTGGTCTTACTTCGCAAACATTCCCAACTTCCATTCAACCCCGACCATTTCCATAACAAACGTAGATCGGATATAGTCTGTAGAAATAAATATGTTAGGTTGGAGCTCGCAAAACGTCATTTTCACTACCTCTCTCCCCGTTTATACAATAAAGTAAATAAAATATTAAATATTTATCCACTTACTTTTAAGGAATGTAAACTACGGATCACTGTTTGGCTGAAGGGGCTTTCATATACAGAAACAGAGGTACTTATAAATAATTAATTATAAGACTGTTAAACGTCGAAATACTGCTAAAGCAGCTTTGCGTGCTGTTTGTTATCAAGTAAACAATACCTATTCCAAAAAAAAAAGTATATATTGTTAAAACTAATTTGAATGTGAAAAAGACTACCTCGTTAACGTGATAATCATCTTAAAATAAAATAATTTCAATTTGATTTAACTATTTATAAAAATGAACATTCCAAAATCTCATTTACTCATTAATAAATATAATCTTTAAATATATAAAAAAAAATAGCTTTAATTTACAATAACGACATAAAAAAAAATTAATTAGTGGATAGTATTGGTATAAATTCTTTCTATTGTCAGGTTATTAAAATAAATGAAAAAACAACTTAAATTCAGATATAAACACAATAATTCTACTTATCAAAAGAGTTTAAAATGGAGTTTATCGCTCATGTTACAGCATTTTTGTCGCTCATGAACTGGAGTCGCGCCCTATGTAGATATATTTGTTTCTTCTACAACGATTCACGCCTGCTGACTTGCTCCGCCCCTTTTCCTACCACTGATCCTGGTCGCGCTTATCAGTCGCTCGAAATGACTTATTAGTTCAGTTCAACTAGTATACTCTATGGTTCAGTTGATGGCTAGCGTATGGTACTGCTGGACGTTTTTACTATTTAATAAACAAAATAATGATGTTCGTATGCTTTAAATTAACTTTTTTGCAGTGATGTTGGTACGATGTGTGCGAAATTGTTATATTGAATTTAACTATTCTATATCATGATTTATTGGTTTGTAGTGTCCAGGCACAGCGGTGACACTCTGTGTACGTGAGTTCCAGCGTCAGTGACCTTGAGCAGGAGCGTGTATGCGCTAGGGTTGAACTTGGAATTTAGACTTGTGCCAATGAATATTTATGCATAGTAAGTTATTAAATGTAAACTGATTCAAGGATACTGGGGTAAATAATGAAGGATAGGTTTGATTTTATAATCAATTTTTAATCTTTTAATGTAGGTACTATAACAAATTGTTAACTTTTATATATTTTCTCCTTTTTCAATTCGTTTTATAATTCTTATTATTATCTAAATAATAATAAGATTGCGTAGCGTAGTCAGTCTGTGCGTGCAATGCAGTGCAACGCTATTATTTTACTATTTCGCTACTGCCATGCCTTCGGTCGAGGCAGTCGGCGACTGCCCTCTCCACGTCCCGCGCACCGCGCAACGCCCCCGCACACCTCCAGACACCCACACATAGCCGCGGGCGATTTTACGAGCACACATGCTTAAGTGTCGCTTCTTTTCGCGTAGTGTATATATTCTGTGGTCCAGGTAGGTTTAATATTGTAATTTTAATTGTTATATTTTAGTCCTTATTTTCATTTTTTGGTAAAATTTAGTATTGGTTTGTTATAATATTGATAAAAATGCACTCGGACATATTTTTTGTTTTGAAATTACCTTCGATGGATTTTAAATTGTGGATATTTTTGTCTCATTTTAATTTTCTCTCTATACAGATTGTTTTAATTAATTTTATACATTGATAGGAACACTGTTTCATATTATACGGGAATGGGCGTTAATTCTGCAACACAGTTTTTGTAAAACTAAAGCAGTTTTAACGATTCATAATTTTATGTACATTGCACTTGTTCCAAATAAAGTTATTATTATTATTATAATTATAATGGGAATTTGATCTTTCAAAACTGTATTTACATCTTGTAGAAAAAAATAATATATTGTAAACATTGCTGCGAACAGAATACAATGATTTTTACTTGGGAATTTATTACCAACTATCTTGTAAACCATTTTCCTATGACATGTTTTGTGATGCGAACAGCACATTGGGGCTGTTTCCTTCACATACATCAAAATTAGAGAAGAAATAATATCAAATATGCGTGATGCGAGCAGTACTACTCTTTACTTGGGCATTTGCAAACTATATTCAATAAAAAAACAATAAATTTTGGGGGTTCCCCGTACTTAGAACTGAAACTCATTTTTTTTTCTTATCAAACCCATACTTATGGAGTATTTATGGATATGTCTTCAAAAATAATATTGAGGTTTCTAATATCATTTTTTTCTAAACTGAATAGTTTTCGCGAGAGACTCTTCCAAAGTGGTAAAATGTCCCCCCCCCCCCCCTGCAACTTCTAAAATAACAGAATGATAAAACTAAAAAAAAAAATATGATGTATTACAATGCAAACTTCCACCAGAATTATTAATATAACAAACTTTATTGACCAATACATTAAAATAGTACGCACAAGAAGTGGGCTTAATGTTAAAAGCATTCTCTACCAGTCAACCTTTGGCAAAAACGGTAAACACGAACGGTGGCATAAAACTAAAGATAAGAGCTTTTATTTTACCTTTCCTATGAAATCAAAGAGGTTGAAAGCTGACATCAATATAATAGGCATCCAGGAACCAAGCCGGCAGGACGGTACCTCCGAAGCGATACCGGGATAAAGGCTCAGCGTGGTGAAATACACCAATCCGATGGACACCATGTACGGGTAAATAGCCCTGGCCACTGCCCAACGAGCTAGAACTCCACCTAAGGGGAAAAATTCCAGTGAATAGTTATGAATTCCCTTCGCCTATCTTGGTTTATTTATTTTTCGTTTTAAGCAGAACAAATTTTTTTTTGCCCTGGCCAGCATACCAAATGGCGAAAAGAAAAACAGGCTAACATAACAACCGTACTCAGCATCGTCAAATTAATAAAAGATAAAATTGACTTTTCGGAGTGAGGTAAGTTTGTGAGATTTACGGTAAATACTTAAAAGCAATTTTCATCATCAGTCTAAGGCCTTCCCTATGGATGGAATAGGGAGACTGCGCCGTGACCCACCACGTGGGCCCATTATAAATTGGTGGGTACTAACGACTGCATATACAGCCAGGTTCAATGGCTCAACGGGTCTCTTGAAGGCCACGGAGGAGCTTGAGATAAGTCATAAGTTTTTAGTCACCCATCCAATGAGCGACTACTGCATGGGTTGTTTAACTTTCCTGAAAATTTAGCTTAGTAGAATACCGATGTCTGAGTGAGGGAATTACATAATTAAAGTTGACTTACATTTAAACGCCCTCCATGACGTTGGTCTCTCTGGTGTATCAAAAACGACATCTTCAACTTTGTAGGAGGGTCGAGGGGTGAGAAGAGCGGAAGGGCAAGCAGAGGGCTCTGATACGCAAGGTGGCGACACTGGCGCTGCTGCCGTTGGCGAATACAAGGGATTTGCGAAACTGAAAGCTTTGTTTTCTGTTTCCGCTGTAATGAATTTGGAAAAAGGGCAATTTTATAATTGAGTTACTTTATCATGTTTACATGTTATTATGTCAAGTTCAAACTACTAGATGATTCTTGTTTTAAGATATCCTGTCAGAGATAATTTCACAATTGTTGAGTGTAAGTATATTACCTGTTGTTGATAAAGCTGGACTTTGTAATTTTAAAACTCCATAGCTAGATTCACCAACTTCACTTTCCATCTAAAAAAATCATTGCTTTATTAGCCAACTGAAACTTATGTAGATAACGAAATATTATAACAAAATCACCATATTTATATTATCTTACTATGTCTTGAAGTCCCCGTTCAATAATTTATATTCAATATCAGAATTGGGAAACGACCGTCTTAAGGAAAATAATATTTATAGAACGTCATTGATAACAATAGGTACCTTTAAAAGAGGAGAAATAATCAATCCTATTGAGTCTATTGCCGTACAACTTGTGCACGAAAATAGTAAACTGGAGGGTGTAGATCAAAGGGTTCTGGTACTTAGACGGTATTAAGTATGAACTCCCGCCAGTGCACACCGGCACTCGATCAGCAGCCCGATTTGAACACCTTTTTTAGAGGATCCTGGGCTTGCCCGTACCCAGATCAGTACCCCTAGCACGAACCAATATCGAATTCGAATAGTATGCAAACCGAAATGTCAATGTCAAATTTTGTATGGAAACTTTTGTATGGAACAGCAGCGGCACAAAGTACGTAACGAGAACTAAAAATCAGTATACATTTGACAATGACATTTCAGATTCGCAAACGTTACGAATTCGATATTGGTTCTTGATAAGGGTAGAGTACCCCTAGCGCGAACCATTATCGAATTCGAATAGTTTGCAAACCGAAATGTCAATGTCAAATTTTGTATGGAAACTTGTACAGCAGCGGCACAAAGTACGTACCTAACGAGAACTAAAAATCAGTACACATTTGACAATGACATTTCAGACTCGCTAACGTTACGAATTCGATATTGGTTCTTGATAAGGGTAGAGTACTCTAAGCACGAACTTTGACACATCCGTAATCCGTATCCGTTTGACGTATCACCATCGACAATTTTTCTATGGAAGGAGTTAGTTTGTTTTTACGTCCGGCCTAACGGATGGAAGGCTAAGCAGGGCCGCTTCTTAGTTCCCATAAAAACTTTCACGATACGATAATAATACGGATCCTTCAAAGTGCGTTCTCGAGGTACTGTATTCGTATCGCGATCGATTCATTATCTTAAAAAATAAAAAAATGGTTTTGTCAGTAAACTGCAGATACTAGGTTAGCTAGGTTAGGATCATTATGTGATACTCGGATAGGTAAGTACTGTAAATTTGGAACTCTCGTTACACTGTTAGACTCACCAATGTTACATCTTCATTTGGATTCAAATGCAGTTGTATTCGCTTGCGGTGACGAGACTCATTTGTTAGTTTTAAATAGTGCTGAACTAAGGGATGACGCATCATCACGTGATGTAGCATCGAATGGCCCAGCAATATAAGGATAGAGAACACGAAGAACATGAATGTGCTGCTGTGAGGTTGGCGAAAACTGTATTTGGTGACTATTCGGTCCAGAGAAACCCAGAAACCAGCAGCGCCTACGGAAATAATATCAGCAATGTAGATGTACTTATTAATTTATTAGTAAATCGTTATTTTATTAATCTATACTTATTAAACCGCTTAACTGAGTCCTCGCCTGCGGGGTACAGGGTGTGGGGAGGCCGAGAACGGGCACCATGAGAGGTGCGGGCGGCAGGCACATTCTTGTCAAAATTACAAGAGCCCGCCGCCACGGTAATATTATCTATTACCGTGCCGCCGCCGCGCCGCCCGCACCTCTCACGGTTCCCGATCTCGTGCTCCCACAAACTCTTTTCCCCGGAGGCTTTGATTAAAAAATTATTGGGTACCTGCATCTGCTCGATTTGTTGTTTTATTTAATAGTGCAATTTCGATCAATTATTTTATTGAAAATTTAATTTAATTATTGGAAGAGTGCGGGATGTAACACAACTATCGTTGCACTTTTTTTTACACTCTAATAAGTGCTAGATTTTGAACTAAACAAATAAAAGGGTAGATAGGTACAAATGAATTGCGGTCTTGGGTGTATCTCAGGTAATATACTGTGTTTTATTCAAGCAATTACCAGCCACCAATCCACACTGAAGTAGAGGTTGTTGGTAGGTACTACAGCAGTGGGGACATTAATAGGCTGATGATTTGAATTTGAATGAATAAGATATTAAAAAATGGCTATGAGATTACGGTTAAGCACTAGATATATTACATTGGTAAAAGTTGTTACTTACTTTCTCCAGCCATCACAGCCTGAGTGTAACGTGGGGGTAAGCATCCAGTGAAGCCATAATACGAAGCCTGTTGTACTGTACAGCCGAAGGCAACTACGCCTATGGCAACCAAATTAATGGTGTATGACACTCGCATCGAGAATCCATCCCAGCCTATATTACAAACTGCCACGAACAGCATTGTTGCAAGGGACACCAGGATGCCTTAAACATGAACAAATACATTAAGTAACACAGTAAAAGGAGCAGCCACGTCATTGCTATGTTTTTGTAGCTGGCGCTAGGCGTCTTGTTCATGATTGGTGTCATTGCGCCATGAAATTAACGAGGCGTAAATTATTTAATCTCTACATAAACTGTATCAGGCGTTGTTAAAGCTTTTTCTTTCTCATTATCACTGACCACGATTATTTTACAATTTTGAAATAATAATATAGGTAAGTACTCTAGGTAACAACAATCTATGATTATACCTAGTCAGGTCATAAATTCTGTCACATGTTTAATATAAAATAATTGAAACAAGTTTATTCATTAAGTAAACATTTATATACCAAAATAAACTTAACAAAACATAGATTCTTATGACAATAAAGTTTATTCAAAATGACCTCCGTGATTTTGAATACAGGCCTTCAATCTGCGCGGCCAGTCGTCTATCGCAGCACGAACGAGGTCCATGTCAATATCGGCTCCAATACTCCAAATTGGGATGAGGCTTTGAGCACGCCTTTTCCTCCAACTGTTGCCATATCTTGTAATCCAACGGACTCAAATCTGGACTGGAGGAGGGCCAGTCTTCGTGCCGGATGAAGTCGATTTCACGCGCCGCCATCCAGTCTTGTGTGCTCTTCGCTCTATGAGCTGGCGCCGAATCTTGTTGGAATACCCAGTACCTGTTATTGAACATGGTATGAGAAACAGGTTCCACAAGGTTCGTCAGGACTGTATTTTGATACACAACTGCATTCGTTTTTACACCTTTCTCACGAAAATGTACCTCTGTTATACCCCAATAAGAAACTCCCAACCTTACCATGAGCGAGGATGGAAAATGACCTCGTTGGACACGCGGAATACGGTTGCTCGTTTCTTCACTACTGTGTGCGTACACCTTATCATTTTGTTTGTTGTAGCTCTCTTCCACGGTAAAAATATTTCGTCTGAAGGGCCAACAGTTTCTGCTTACGTTTGAGATTTCTTTGAATTCGCGCCTTCACAGCTTTTATCACTACTTGACCAGTCATCTACACTACAGTCTTCATTGTATCGTTTGATGGTACGATAAACGAATCGTTTGGTTATATTCAAATTATTCAATTTAGTCAATTAGCGCGTAACCGCAACGATGCAACGCAATAACTGCAACACGGTCTTCTTTAAGCGTCCACTGTATATTTAAAAATGAGTAAAATTCTAAAAATTATCCATTTTTATTTTCATGAACAATTCGAGATTCGGATTCAATAAACTTTTTTGTGGCCAGCATTCTAAAAGAAAAGTTTTTACTGTGTGACAATATTTATGACCTGACTGTGTAATGTTAACCAGTGTCTGCACTACAATTTACAGTATAACATGTTTTTTATCGCGCCTAACTGTCAAACTCCATAGTAATTTGACAATTGAGCGAGATAAAAACATGTTATATATCATATTGTGGTGCTATGCATGGCTGAACCCAGAACGATAATTATTTCGTTAAATATAAAGTAGGTAGGTAGGTAGGTAATTATATAATACGTTTTTAACTTATAAAGTAGGTAATAATAAAAAAAAAAAACTTAGGCATAAGAGTTTTCTGATATAGTCACACTGAGCCCTAGCTAGATTATAAAATAATCTGTGTTAAGGGCAACAGTCCCGTTCCCTCGTCGTATCCTATAAAAAGTTAATTTCAAAGGCACAAACATACTACCTATATTACATGCGCACACATACTTTAAGACCAATTAATATTAGCCGCATTTATAAATGCGTATTTTTTACCCGTAAACTTTTACTTTACCGTAAAAAGTTAAAAAATTATTTCTGTATCAACTATTATTGCTATTTTGGTTTTGTTAGAGTTTTGTATACATGTATTTACCAAATGTGATCCTCGTGTTGTAAGTGAAAAGGTCCAGCAGTAGATTGTTAGTGACCACTGCCACACATGCAGAGGCGATGTAAACCGTCGACATATCGAACATGATGGTCGTGTCCGGAAATTCATGCTGGAAGTAGTCGACTGCCATGATGAAACTGGTTAGAAAAGAGAAGCTCTTAAGGTATATCTATGGTACGGTGTCCAATGAGCATTTATGATAAAAAAAAATAAACAAATCTTGAGTATAAGAGGAGCTCGATGGTGCAGTTATCTATTCGTACTAGCACTTCGTTCGGTCTGAACTTAAGCAATTAGTAGCTGGCGGTCGTGGAATAGGCGCAACGTTATTAAAAAGGGGTTTGAATATCAATAGTTGGCTGAACAAAAGTAAGTTATGTTATATTAAGCATCTCCACGCTTCGGTACTTAGGAAAATCCGAAGGCATTGTAGCTTGTAAACTTACCTTGTATAAGAATAAAAAACCGACTTCATAAAAATAAAATTAATAAAATTTTGGAAATAATAAATATTGTTCTGTATCTAACAACGTTTGGAGTCGAAATCAACTAAACTTAGCAGAATTTAATTTAAGTAGTAAACGACAGCACCAATTCCAAAAGTTGTTATTTTGATTCAAACTTTAGATATTTTATGATTTGAAAATTTTAAGAAGTCGGTTTTAATTTATGTCGAAGTTGTTTATAAGCATATTTTTTTGTATTACATTTGATTCACATCGTTTCTGCGCGGGATAATTTTACAGAATAGCACTGCTGCTAGTCGCACCGTTGTGACTCAATTTTCTTTTTTTCATTTTGAATAAGGTACCCAAACTTTTTGATAACCACAACTGGACATTTAGTAGCAGAAGAGCTGTTTTCGAGATTTGCATTTTTGTTTTGTTGCCTATGATTTTTCGATGAAATATAATTACTTTTTGTAAATAGTATATCTACCCAATAATTTTCTGTTCTGTGACAACTAGTAAAACCCCTATTTACCTTCCTTAAATAAATTGTCAAATAAAAGGTAAATTAATACTTATACCATGGTAATAAGTTGTCACACGCATAAGCAATATAAAACATTAAAACATACATAAACAACTTAAAGAATTTGTAGTTCTTTGAGGCAGTGGGTGAAGTTATTATTCTAAAGGGTGGGTTAACGTACCTGTTAAAAGGAAGAAGGAAAGCGGCGCCCGCGACAAAGAGGGTGAAGTAAACGGAATTATATCGGTCGGGGGGCGGAGCACCCGGGTCTGCCATCGCAGCCAGGGGCTCCCCTCTTGCAGCCCGGATCGCCTCGATCCGAGCGTACCCGCGTCCTAGAGTCTCGTTCATGTTTACACCTTACTTCTCTTCACCCATTTTTCAACATCATTTACTGAATACGTTGAATAATTTCGATGTTTCAACAATATCAGTTTGACACAAGCACTGCCATTTTTCGCTCGCTAATTTGATTCCTTTTTGTTTTCGCTGTTAAGTTAAGCATTTGTTAAACTATTTCACTATATCCATTTTTGTCCCACTGATTATGCGTCAAATAAACAAACTATGGTCTAATCGCCTGATTTTGAAGTATCTTACAAGCAGAATTTTTATGGTTTTTGATTTGATTTGTCCGCTATTATTAAGGTTTAAGTAACTTAATTGATATCAACACTTTGGAATAGAAATAAAGCGATATAGGGATTTATTTTGCACTGGTTCTAACAATAACAAATAATTTCGGCCGGTGGCACTTGACAGTTGTGCGAAGAAGACCAGGTCACGCATGCGTGTAGTGCATTGATTTTCAGGGATGGAAAACAGCTGTCTATAAATGAAGAATTACCATGTAAATAAACTACAAATTATTTATATATATAAATAAATTCTTTTTTATAAAGGAATTGCAATCCAGAAATGAATAAAAAACTTTCTCAAACTTCGATCCATATAACAACGTTACCTCAACTATGAGCATAATAGCTTACTTGTAGGTATGATCATTATTTTACCAACCTACGAGTATATTTAACTTCAAATCGATTAGAGTTAAAAGTTTATTGGTATTGACAATACTTTTCACTTTATTGCTTTCTATAATAAAACTTATACCCCGATGGCGAATTCAAGACATTTCGCAGCTTGTTCTCTTTATATTGTTGAATAGTTATTGAATTTGTTAATGCACAATTTCTTTCATTTTATAGTTGGGAACAATTTTAGGTAAAATAATTCTGTAAAATTTTCAAGACAAAATTTACAGAATAGCATTGCAGGTTGCATTATGGAGATTCGAAAAGTTTATTGGACAATCATAAGAAGGTAACGAATACTAGGTTTGTGATATGGGATGGTTGTATTTATCATACTAACATTTACCAGACCGGGATTCGAAACCGGGACCTCTGAGTAGGCGACGCCTTAAAACCCGGCGTACATATTAATTACCACTAAACTCGCGTCAACAGAAGTCGCCAATGTGAGTCGGTCTTGCAAACTATTAAAGATTCAACACCAAGTATATGTTATTAATACTTTCGTATAAAATAATACACAAAAAACGTTCGTAAAAGAAACAGAATTATAGCAATTTATGGCTTGCGCAGACGAGGGACTTGTTATCCGCAAAAATAAATCACTTACAGTTGCATCGAGTAGCGCATCGAGGGATTAAAAGTACCGCGTACAAAAAGTCCCCCGAACAACCGAGGACGCTGAGAGATAACACTGGATAAAAAGTACGGGAGAGTCCCCTGAAAAATAGAATTCATGCGACTAGGCGCAGCAACGCACGCAGGAAACTACAATCTACGTAATCCTAGAATATTTGCTTCAATAGCGTGTGCTTTTCTAAATTTCCAGGCAACAAATTTTCGTACATCGTCTAGTGTATTGAGCCCGTAAAGCCGGGTACTCATTAGAAAGCTGTAACCGTTACCGTTTGCAACACTGTAACCAAAAAAAGGTAAATTTAAAAAATCAAAAAACCCGACTGCTTAATTATTCTTCAAATAAAAACTGAAAAGAAAAAAACAAGTCCAGTAGTCTATAATTCTGTTAATAAGGAACAAAGCTACTTTAACAGTCGGGACCCATTAGATATTCAAGAATACATAATATTTTTCAACAGTGGGTCCCGACTGTTAAAGTAGCTTTGTTCCTTATTAACAGAATTATAGACTACTGGACTTGTTTTTTTCTTTTCAGTTTTTATTTGAAGAATAATTAAGCAGTCGGGTTTTTTGATTTTTTAAATTTACCTTTTTTATTTCACACTTTTTAGTTAGTATTTTAAGACGGTATATACCGTAGTCTTGTTACTTCTCTAAGGGAATTCATATCGCGGGAATTATTAAGTACCTTGCGTCGGTCTAAAAGATTGATTTATTAAGACATATAAAAACTTTACCAGCGGGGTCAAGGCTACAGATGGGCCTCAATTTTCGCAAAAATGTGTGAAGTTAAATCAAGTCGTTACATAAATATCTCTAATGTATGTAAATTTTATAGTAAACTAGCACTTACTCAAAAAGTCATCTTTTGTTTATGTTTTTTTTAATAGTTTAGCAGTAAATATAAAATTTATTTACTTTTATTCGTCCACTATTTAAAATTGGCAGTGGCTGCATTGTCATGTCAATGCCGGACGTCTAAGATTGTGATATCTTAGATTAAAACAAAAATGTGATATACACAAATTCAGTGTCAGTCCCTAGTCACTTAATTTGATATACCTACATAATTCACAGAAACCCAATATGTAGATGCTAGAAGTTAATTTCAAATGTTTTTAATCATCCTATATACAATACCAATCAATGACGTTTATGTCGCAGGTTGAAGCAAGAAGTAATTCCCGTCTGTTGTTTTGGACAATGGTGGCAACTGCCTTAGGTCACTAAATTAAATAATTATGCAATCACCAAAGCAAAGTTTATAATATTTGATTTAACTAAAGGCGCATAATAAAATTTTCATAACGTTAGGTAGAGCACCATAGCAATCTCATTTATTATCAAATTTTCTTTTATATAGTATACCGCGCTATCACTTTGTCATCGTTGTAACTTTTTAAATATTTGTCGAAATGACATAGTGTAAAAAGCAAAGTTTATCGTCTTTACATATCAAAAGCGATTAAAGTATTTGTTTTGATAAAAAATGATTTGTTTATACAAAATGTGCATTTTGGAAATAAATATCAAATAATATTTAAGTTTTGATTCACTATTTTAGCGGTAATGACTTACACATTAAAAATAGATATATGGTGTCACGGACTTTTTTTTAGAACTATTTAAGAGATACATTTTCACTCTACATTACATTCATGTAACTTTTATTGTTTTTGCAGTGCAGGCCAAAATGGCTCGCAGATGGGACATTTTTTTCCGTCTTATTGCTATATATTGGCCAATTCACTCAACAACTACATAAATTATTATATATATGTAATTATCATATATGAGCTATATTACTGTTAAGTTTCATTAAAATACATTCAGTATTTTTTAGGTGAAAGAGTAACAAAGATCCATACAAACGTAAGATTGAAATTAAAAGCGCAAGTGGTTAATATACAACTTTAAAGCGTTGTAGATCCTAACCAATCATATAAAATGAAAAATGGTGTTAGGAACCTAAATATGATTTTTGATTATCTAGACAGTGATACCCCACTCGACATATTTTGTCAACTTATTTTTTTTACTTCGTCACAATATGGCGCCTAATGTTGCCCATATTGAATTTTGATTACTATCATATCTTTAGTAGCACTCCCATGATTGAGACGAATCGATTGATGTATGAATCATCAAAATCGGTCCAGGCGTTTGGTCTCTAGTGTGCCACAAAGGAACAAACATACATATATAGACTGTTAAACACATAACCCTGTCTGCGCGTCGCGCTTCGCGCTCTTGCATTGCGCAGCCGGGTAAAAAGCATAGTGTGTACATGGTTCGCTAACCTGCTGCGAGAGCGCGGTACGCGTGCGGTTTGCAACGAGCCGACGGACGTATACAATTGAGCTACAAGCGTACACACTAGAACTTCGTACTGTATCACGCATGTTACGGTTACAGCATGCTAATAAGTACCCGGCTTAACAGTTCTCGGTGGACATTTTTTTCACGTTTCAGGGTTTTTGTCCTCTACGCACTAAAGCCCCTCGTCTGCGTAGATCACCCAAAAAGCCTTGAAATTTTGATATTCTCAGATTTTTTCTGGTTCTTCGTTATCTTGTTACAGTTCATGAAATAATACAGCCTACCGGCGGAAAGACGGATATTGTGGTCTTTTAAATTTTTTTAATAAAAATCTACTATATTTAATTCATTACAAACTTCACATTAAGAATCTTCATTTTGAGTTTTCTAGATTAAATGATAAAATAAGTAGGCAAACAATCAGAGTTAAAATCCTATTTGTTTATTATTATCGAGAATCAGTTGACCTTTTTATATAAGTATTTTATTAATAACGGTAACAATAAATTACGGGATATTCCTAACAATTATCCAGTTCCAAACTAAGCAGAGCTTTTATGATTGAAACTAAATATCTTGTTCAAAACATTAAACAAGTAAATAAGACAGATACCTATAACCTTATATTGCTTAATTAGTTACTGAATAAAGAATATGGTTAAAATCCGTGTCTTGGTAGAAACTGTATCTTGAATGGTTTGGCAGAAAGCGTGATGCCACCAACAGGATCCGCCGTGGGGAGAGGATCTCCATCCGGAACTATCAGATGGAACTTTTGCATTATGTGAGCGATGAACAGGAATAGCTCGGACCTTGCCAATCCTTCTCCGATACATCGCCTTTTTCCTGTAAAATTGATTTATATTAATTTATGCGAATTACAGAATCCGCAAGTAACTTACTTCATAAGATCTTCCTCTAGTATGCATGAAGGTATGTATTATAATTCAATTTACAGTTTTACGTCATATTCTTATGTCATTTTAGGAGAGCTTCAAGGGTAATATGATGTTATGAAACATACAAATTAGGTAGAGCTTATATCTGGTACTTTGCATGCACAATGTTGCGATTTTGTTAAGTTGGAACTCCATCACCTACAATAGGTCCAAAGACTAGATTAATTTGTTCATAATAGACTTTTTCTAACTACTTGAGATAGTTAGAACTTGGTGCATTATACGTTTATCTTAAACTAGTGGCCAGCCCTCGCTTCGCCTCGGTGTAGAGCTGAAGTGTAGACTACAGTTTTTGCTCTCAGGCTTGTATTATACACAATGATATTATCTATGATTCTTCTTATATCGTACCTGCATGCAAAGTCTCAGCCCGATCGGTTGAAAATTGACAAAGTTTCATTCCCTATTTTATCCCTTTGGGGGTAGAATTGATCAAAATCTTTTCTTAGCGGATGCCTACGTCATAACTTCAACCTGCATGCCAAATTTCAGCCCGATCCGTCCAGTGGTTTGGGCTGTGCGTTGATAGATCACTATTTCAGTCAGTCAGTCACCTTTGAGTTTTATATATATATATATATATAGATAACTAGTAACCCGCCCTTGCTTACGGATCACGGATTGCTGTGTCCAATTTGCGGTGGAGTGTAATTCCTTCCAAACCAAGCAAGCAAAGTATTGCAAAAGTTAGACATTTCGGTGGGAATTATTTCCAGTCTAGGCTAGAGTGAAAAAAGAGTTTTCTAATACACAACAAGTACACGACATAAGTATTATTAAGTATTAAATCTTACCGAAACCGAAGGGCTTGAGCGTCTCATCTTGCATTAGGTTTCCTTCTTTGGTGAGGAATCGCTCTGGCCTAAAATCCTGAGGATTCTTCCAGTGGCTTCCATTGTGGAGATCATGCAAGCCTATTAATATGAAAGTACCCTGCACGAGGAAAATGGGAAAACGAGCATTTAGTCTTCTCCGATGACTTAATTAATAAAAGCAATTCCAATTTTAAGTTGTTTTTTTTGCGGCATAATGCTGAGCGAAAGCCATTTTGGTAAAGTAGGATTTAAGTTTTTATTTGATCTCTGTTTTTTATTTTCATTATGATTTTATTTTATTTTATGTGACGTTTTAATATTTTTTTTGTATTTCCAAATAAATGTTTTTCTATTCTATTCTAATCTTTTAATGTATATATTATTTATACCTTGGGTATATCGTAGCCTCCTAATTGTGTATCCGCTGTAGCCATATGTGGTATTCCCACTGGAGCTATGCTTGATATTCTCAATGTTTCTAATATCACTGCTTCCGTGTACACCATTCTGCAAGTGTTCATAGTTTATTTTGAATAATGTCTATACTCAAAACTCGACGAAAAATGACGATGAAGCGCTTATGTACTTGAATTGATTTGATTTGAATGTAAAACGTATATTTCAACTGTGTTTTGAAGCTAAATGATTCGATAATTTCCTAAAGTATTTTTCCTCCACTGGTATTTTCATAGTTATGACCTGTTCTAGATTCGAATGCCTCTTGTAAAGTCTGGTCCGTGTATGGACCATTTCTATTCTTAGGTGTGCAAAAATACGCTACTGTTTGATGTCTCCTTGTGAACGTAGCGTAAATGACAAGATGTTACCCATAAAAAACCACCTCTAACACTCGCAATAGGTTTAATAATTATCGGTACATCACTACCGTGGGTTATGTTAACATATTTTTTTTACCCTTTTGCACACTACACTCTAATTAGAAGAAAAGAGAAATGGTTGAATCCAGAAATACGAAGTAGTCATAAGCAGAAGTGGTCAAAACCAGAAATGGTCGTATACAAATGTAGTTGTTTCAAGAAGTGGACTTCAAACCAAAATATGTATGCAATCAGAAGTTTTCTACTTGGTTCTGCAGTTCTGGCGATCACGAATTTGGCTACTTTGACTGTGATTAAAAAATCCGATTTTGAAAGTGTACTGTGCCTGTTAAGTCAGGTCCTAACTTTTGAGTCGAGCTTGAACTTCGAAAAAGGGATTACAGTTAAGCATTATTACCCTTTAATATTAGTACGAGAGGTTAACCCGTTTGTTCTAATATTAACCGATTCCACTTTTACTTAATTAAATGCCTGCACAGCACGTTTAAAAAAACGTTTAAAAACATTTATATGTTTCATATAAATTTGTTCCGATAACATGTTAACATTACATGATAAACAGGAGAAAAACACGGGTCGTAAACAAAATGAAAAGTTCATGTGCCGATTGTAAGTTGTGTTTACTTTGAGTAAAGAATTAAAATTTATTATAATATTATGTGAATAAAAACGTTTGTTTGTTAAAATTAAATATGCAACTGAACAATAGAGTGTCTTCGACTCTGGCGACCTAAATAAAAAAAAAACCGGCCAAGTGCGAGTCGGACTCGCGCACCGAGGGTTCAGTACAAACCTGCAAGGTTTACAAAGTTCGTTCATTACGACAATCGAGTCATAACTATGGTATTTTTATTGCAAAATGAAATTCATAACATTACAATGGGGAAAGATGGAGGAGCATAAATTTAAGACAAAGATCTCTTTATCGTTTAAGTAATCCTTTATTTTATATTAACACATATCATTTATCTCCCCCGCGCCCGCGGGCTAGTGCGAGCGCGTTCATGCCCCGCCCCGCGCCCCGCGTGCCTCCCGTGCCACCAGCGTCCCATCAAACTTCGCCAGTAGAAACAATACAAGCAAGCTGTCTGATAATAACCAACAATAAGAAATATAATAATGTCATTGAATTTAATTATAAGTATAACACTTTAAGCAGTTAGGACGCATTTAGATTATACAGCTACATTCACCAAAACATCGGGATTGAATGACGATGAGTGAGGTCGTCTTTGCCGTTTGAAAAATGTTGCCCTCCCCATACATAGTATAATAACTCGCGGTCATTGCTGTAACTACAATTATGTTTACAATCACAATTTTTTTGGTGGTATAACTACTTAAAATTTTAAGCTTTTCGGAATTTTTCTGTTACCTGTGCTGTAAGCTATTGCTTAATACCAAATTTCGAGATTCTATGTCAACGGGAAGTGGTCTTTAGGTTTTAATTCCCTTGCGTGTAGTTGCGAGTTTCAAAATATGCGGTATCAATGGTTGTACTTTTGCGTTTTGCGTTTTTGCGTTGACTTAGATTTTTTTTTTTTCACGGGTTAAAGGCAATTAGATCTAAGTATTTGATATGAATTTCAACTTGATAGCTCTACGCGTTCATGAGGAAAAAAGTAATAAGTTTATATTTATTAAAAAATATATATTTTGTAATGTAACTAAAAATTTAAGGTTTTCGGAATTTTTCCTTTATGTGTGCTATAAAAAGTTGCTTCATGCCAAATTTCAAGATTCTAGGTCGACTGGAAGTACCCTTTAGGTTTTGATTCCCTTGCGAGTACTTGCGAGTTTCAAAATATGCAGCTTAAATTGCTGTTTCTTTTGATTGCGTTGACATAGAAGTTTGATTTTGTTACAGCTTAAAGGTATTATAGACCTGAGTATTTGGTATGAATTTCAATTTAATACCTCTACGCGTTTATGAGGAAATGGGTAGTAAGGTTAAAATTATTAAAAAAATAGTTATTTATTATACAAGAGTGGAAAGTTCCTTTTTAACCGCGTGCTCGATTTGGATGACCGAGCAAGCGAAGGATTCTAAAGTTGAATCACGAGCGCAGCGAGTGATTCTAAATTAGAATCCTGAGCGTCAGCGAGGGAAACAAACGAGCACAAGGTGAAAAATCTTTCCACTCGAGTGCAATACGTAACTTTTCATCCCACCTCAGCGAGGAAATGACAAAATGAAAAAGAAAACAATTTATAATGACAAAATATTTTTATTTCAATTAAAACACATTAAGATAATCTATAAATTGAAGAAAATAATAAGAAGTAGAAAATAATTAAGAAATATTAAATGTAACGTTGCTACTGTTACTTATGTTAAGTTTAATATTTTTGTTAGGTAATGTTATGTTGGTGTTTGTGAATTGTGCGCTGTTTTGTGGTAAACTACTCGTATCAGTAATTTTAAATAGTTGTGCCGATTCATTGGATTCTATTGGCGTAAATGTTGGCGAGAGAGGGCTATTGTTTCCAATCTTATGGGGGCTCATTTTAGATGTAGAAGGGCGAGACCAAGAATCTGACAGAGGTTCTTTCAGCGTTATGGCCTCCACGATACTATTACAAATTTTTGATTTACTTTGGATTGAATCCTCTATGTATCCCTCTACAACCGAATTAGACTTCCAGCCTCCATGGCGCTTAAGCGATAGAAGATCAGCCCCTGATTCGGCCAAAAGTGTGGCTGAGGTTCTTCTAAAACAGTGACCGGTGTATAACGGGGGTTCTAAAAGTCCGAGAAAAGTTGCTATTTCTCGTGGAATACTGCCAATTTTATTCTGACCCATAGGTTGTCGGATACACTTTCCGTTGCGATATTGTAGAAAAAATCGTTCAATTGGGGTGTTAGAAGGACGTAAAGCTTGATATTTCTGAACAATGTTTACATATTCCTTGCGAATAACGAAGTTGCGGTCTTTTTTTGTCTTGGTATTTAGTACATTAATTAATAGCAATTCATCAGAATTATGAGAATATTTTGATACGTTATTGACATTAAGTAGTGTAAGTTCATTTGTTCGACATGCTCCGGTTATACCAATAATAAGAACAACCTGTAACAAAAGAAGTATTTATAATCGTAAATAAATTAATCAAATTAAAAATATTGTAAGTACTATGTACAATTTTATCAACAACAAAAAATTACACGTATTGACTTACTTTTGCCGCTAAATATACGGAATCAGGTGCTTCATTAATAAACTTTGCAATTTCAGATGCTGTGAAAACCTTCGATTTTTTTGGTTTATAACCAGATGAGGCTCTTTTTAAAAATGCCACTAATTTATGATAGGTGTCGATATGAACGTCTTTCTTCATCTTAATTGTTAATTTTAGCATTGAATACGTACTCCATAGCGTGCTTGCTTTCTTGGTCTCAGATAATTCTATAAAATATGCCAGCAAAACGTTTTCGGAGAAAGTTTTTGCTCCTTTAGCTAGTCGCCACATGTTAAATATATCGTACTGTTTCAAATACTTCTCTCGTGATTGCTGAGGGAGAAGGCTCATTTGCGCATTATTAACTGTTTCAGTTAACTCAGTTGGCGTTAGATAAACTTCATCGTCGCTAATGTCACTCATTTTAGTTGATTTTTTTGTACAGTTTTTAGGTTATGTTAATTATATTAAGCAATAAAACGTGAAAAACTAGAATGGCGCGAAGCACGCAAATAAAACAAAGAAACCAAGAAGGTTCCAAATTTAAATTTTTTCACAATTTAAAAAGTTCTAATCATAAATTTGGCACCATAGAGGTTACATTAAATAGGTTTAATGACGTTTTGAATTTACAATTATATTGAGTACTCATTATATGTGATGTTCTAAATTCAAATCTACTTTGCCGCTCAAGCGAATAAAATAGAATTTTCCAGCCAGATTTCGAAGCGCAAAATTACACTTTCCGAGGTGGTGGGATGAAAAATATATTATGTGATGTTACTAAAAATTTATGGTTTTCGTAATTTTTCCTTTATCTATGCTATAAGACGTTGCTTGGTACCAAATTTCAAGATTCTGAGTTCACGGGAAGCACCCTGTAGGTTTTGATTCCCTTGCAAGTGTCGAAAATTTGCGGCATAAACGGCTGTATCTTTTGATTGCGTTGGCTTAGAAGTTTGATTTTTTCACAGCTTCAAGGGACAGTAGACCTGAGTAATTGATATAAATTTCAGCTTCATACCTCCACGCGTTCCTGAGAAAAAGGGTCTTGACAGACGGACGGACGGACGGACAGACGGACAACAAAGTGATCCTATAAGGGTTCCGTTTTTCCTTTTGAGTTCGAAACGTTCGAAGTTTAATAAACATAGATTCTAAATAAAAGGGTTTGTAGTTTCTTAAAATTAATACATTTAAATTTTCCTACACAAGAAGCCTATATGGTAAGGATGGTCTTATTGAATTTTGTTAAATCTATCAAAAAGCATAAAATAAAAATACAAGCATTTTTATTATATCCTGTTTTAAATTGTCGATGGGTTTTTTTTCACCCGTTCAGGACAGCATTTTAGCCGACAAGAAAAACCAGCGAAAAAACTTATCAGCTTGCAACAGAAGTAGTGATACGATACAATAAATATACATTACCAATGCAATTAAATAACATTCTTTATGTGTTTTAATGCGGTCAATAACAAGCAAATTATCTCATCACAATTACAAGTAGTATTAATATTGTGTACTGAGTACAAAGTTTTTCATATTTGTGTCTGCAAAAAATTGTTTAAATACGGAAAAAAAATGTAGAGCATGAACAAAATCCAACTACATAATATAATGGCGTTTGACGTCATTATATTATGTAGTATGAGTTTGAACTCATGTAAAGGACAATGGCGAACTCTCATACAAATTTTTGTTGAAAATTTTTTTTGCGTCTATAAATGAATTGCATGTTAAATTATAGAGTTTAGATTCTAGATTTGATTCGTCTTATTTTTTTTATTATAGGAAGTCTGGATTTATAGATATGCTACTTTTAAGTTTTGGAGGTTATGTCATACCAAGTAATACAAAAACGAATTATAAAAGTATTTTCAAGAGTATTTTTATATCAAAATAAAAAATACGTGGAACGGAACTATAGAAGTATACTGGTCCCGTAGATGAGTGACGAAAAAAAAATGTTTTTCATAATGTATGTTCAGTGGGCGTAGGTATGTAGTGACCGACTGCGTTAGAAATACTTAACAGTCAAGGGTTATTGAGTTCGAATACAATGTCTATGCTGTAAGAAAAACCTAACAATTTGAAAATGCCTACAGCAATAATAAAGTATAAAAAAGGATTTCTAATAGTACTAATGGGATATTAATTAAATATGAAACACTTTTATATATATTTTTATTCCATATCTTCTTTGATCACAATATCGTAGATAGTAGATACAATGAAATAAAATCCACAGTGTGGGACAGAATCGTGTCCAAAATCCACAGCAAGACTTCATCCAAAAGATCATCGGAAGTCTTAGGCAAGCACTACTCAACAGTCGCAGGGAACGATTTCGAAAGTCCAAATGCAGTCCAAGTCACATAAAAAACAAATCTCAGAGAAAAACACAATACGCCGATTTGATTCTTTGCAATACGCATGCACTTATGCACAAGCAACGATAATGATAACAATAACAACAGCATTACAACAATTCGATGACAAGCATGACAGTGACAGTTATGGTCTTTTTGCGTTAGAATTGGCGCCATACTCTTTTTGTATTGTGGAGATTATATAAATACTATGGTTTCAGTATAATATTGAAAAATAATGTTTTCCGATATTTTTGATAGATAATTAAATACAGTTTAAGCATAAAGCGATGCAAAACATACGAACAACATATTTAAAGTTGATTTCATCACTAAAATCACTTAAAATTAATGGCTCAAAAGCCATGATGCCAAGCCACAATAAAAATAAATAGTCAATTGTGTTTCCCTTTTTAAGTTTTTAATTCCAGACTTAGACAACCCTCCTCAATTATTTAATAAATCTTTTGAGATTATTTTATTAACATTTCTGATAGTGACATCTATAGACGCTAAAGATTTACTTCAACAAATATTTCGCCATTGTCCTTTGGACATTGGAAACATTGACCATAACGAAAGTAACCTTGTTTCATATAAGTTGTACTTGTACACAAGTCATTCAGCTAGATATTAGATCAAGAAATTTCTAATTGACATTAGGTTCATACATTGCATTGGTATTTTGATTCGTAGTAGAGGGCAGGTATAACAAGCAATGTAATATGAGACAATTAAACCTTCCAAGGCAAAACACAAGTGTTGGACTATTATATCACCTGGATTTATCAGACAAAGAAGGTGTTCTTTCCTTTCCTATGACCTCATCGATTTCCATTTGTAACCGCATCTGCACATTTCTTTCTCGCACCAAATGGAGTAGCATATATACAGCTGTGTTGTTTACTGTCTCCACACCAGCCTCGAGCATGTCTAAGCAGACGACTTGAAGGTCTTCCTCTGTAACTAAACTTGAAGTTTGCACGTCTTCGTCTTTTCTGAGGTTTCATGGGGGCTTCATTTTTTTTCAATAATTACTTACATGAGCTACCATTATTATGGTGCAGTTCTATTAAAAAAGAGTCTATCACATCTCGAGGATTGTCGGGATCGAGAGTACCTCTGTGTTCCCTAATAGTTTCCTGTAACAATCACTCTACACTACATTATAATACAACGGAATAAAACCCACACAATTTTACAGTTATTAATCTCTGTAGGAGGAAATTCTTGACTTAATAAATATTAAGAAAATAGTTTTTCCTGTCAGTCTGTTTAAAATTAATAAAGATAATAAGTATATTATGTAACAAACTTAGGATTTTCACGGCCATGTTATTGGCAAAACACATTATTGGATTCTCTCTTATCTACTCATAACTAGTAGCCTCGATCGTAATAATATATATTTTTGCTATAAAGTATATTTATCTTAACAGATTTACTGTAACAAATACTGCGTAAACTTATACTGAAGATAATTGCTAAGTGGTCTATTTACAAGCTCATTATGACGGTGTGAAGGTTATGTAAAATCGTTAAATTCCTTCTTAAAAAGTAGATAATATACCAGATTTTGCATTTTTTATAATGTATGTAAAATACGAGCGTAATTTTCAAGGACGTAGGTACTTATTCATTTAAAAAAGATGATGACCTAGAAGTGCTTATTTAAGCCACAATTAAGGATGTCCGGGAGTCAAACAACAGTATCTGATCAATCAACTGTGTTGATTTCTTCAGCTAAACTTTTAAAAACTTTAGGCATTTAACTTTTTAAAATGTATACTATAATTACATCAAAGTTTCACTGGCGATTATAAAGATAATTAAGAATCAAACGAACTTACCTTGTGAAGTTTGATATCTAATTATACGAATGTCTTGACCGAAGATGATTACATATTACATGCATATTACATGCAGCAGCTCACGAGATGATGCTGTCCTCACCACATTTAAGAGTTACTTAATCTTTTTTGAATTAAAAAAATAATACATCAAATTCATTTTATCTATGGACTATGACAGCCCGCCATCTACCGGCACTCACTGTTCCTACTCATTTATTTAGAGCAAATTTTTTCGATTGATCTGGGGCCATGGGACGGGCGGGAGTGTAATCATCTTCGGTCAAGACATTCGTATAATTAGATATCAAACTTCACAAGGTAAGTTCGTTTGATTCTTAATTATACTTCATATCTCTCCCGAAGATGATTACATATTACATGCAGATGTTCAGAGCATCGGAAAAATTTTTTGAAGTGATGGAAAAAGGGGGGGAAAAAAAATAAGAAAGAATTAATACTTATAACTTTTCTTAAACTTTCTATTCATAATCAACATCAAACTTAATGTAAGAATTAATAATTACTATTGAAATATAGCGTTAACAAAATCATTGTCATTTGTAGTCGACACATTCTTATTATAATACTTTAAAAATACTTTCGAAGCGTCTGTCCAGCCGGCAGCTTTTCTAATAACTTCCAAATTGACTCCTGCCCTGTGCGCAGCAGACGTCGACGCGTGTCGAGTGCTGTGAGCGCTGTATATGCTTGTATCTATACCACTCTTTTCTAGTACAAATTTTATCCAATGTGATAATGTTTGTGGGGTTTTTGATAACTAATGAAAAGATAATCCTGATTTCGTAAACTACTAGTTCTATCTACGTAAGATTTCAAAGCTGAGGCTGGGCAGACTTTCGAGTCTTCTTTAATAATTGGTAGTACTATTAAAGGTTGGTAAGATCCAGGTCTCGAAGTTTTTATGAAATCATCAATTTTTATAGTAATTTTATCTATATCGAAGCAAATATTTTGAATTTTAATAAGGCTCATGGTCTGTACTCTATGAGCAGAAGCTAAAGCGAGGAGAGTTATAGTTTTAACTGTAAGATCTTTTAGCGAAATTAAATTATTCGGAAAATAACTAGATAAATAATTTAATACCAAATTTGGGTCCCACGTACAATTATATTTGGGAGCAGGTGGACGAAGGCGATAAATACCCTTAAAAAAACGTTTAATACAATCGCTTTCATTGAAGTCATTACGGGATAGTAAAGATAAAGCCGAACGATGTGTATTAAGCGTACTGTAGCTTAAACCAGAGTTATACATTACTGTTAAGTATTTTATTATTTGTGTAATATTTGGATTATGATAATCAATTTTGTTATTATTACAATATTGTAACCATGAATTTAGCGATGAATTATATTGATTAAGTGTGTTTGTAGAAAAGGACGACATTACTATGTCAAGTGAGGCTTCGGGTATACCACGCCTTAGTAACGACTGCCGGATAATTTCCCTGCCATCAGGCTGAGATCCGTATGTAGGGGATGTTTGTCTCTGAAAGGTGAAAATAACAAATTTGGATGAGGCTTAAAATATATGACTTCAGATACTAATAACATTGACCATAATGGGTACCACGGTTGTGTGGGCCAGTATGGCACTACTAAGATGCCTTCGGCCTTGTCTATTTTAATTTTTTGTAATACTTTAGTTATTAAGCTGAATGGAGGGAAGGCATAGAATTTCAAATTATTCCAACCGAATGTGAACGCGTCAACTATTTCAGAATTGGGATCTAATTTCCACGATGCATATCTATAGCATTTATGATTTTGAATACTAGCAAATAAGTCAAATTCTGGTGTACCCAATTTAAGGGTTATTTTCTTAAAAGCATCATGATTTAATTCCCATTCAGTATCTATATTTGTTTGACGAGATTCAAAATCCGCTACGAAATATATGAGGCGAAAACATAAATGTTTCGCTTTTCACACCATTGCCATATATCACGGGCGATGTTATTTAAATGTTTGTACTGTGTTCCCCCCATTTTATTTATATAAGCGATGGCTGTCGTATTATCTATCCTTAAAAGGATGTAACAATTTTGCACTTGTGAAGCAAATATTTTGAGACCGTAAAACGCAGCTAACAATTCTAATGTATTTATGTGAAGAGATTGTTGGGGGTGCTTCCAGTGTCCGCTGGCGGTCTGGTTACCACACGCCGCACCCCAGCCTGTGGTTGAGGCGTCGGTAAATATAACTAAGGAATAATTAGACATATGAAATGGACATGACGAGAACTCAATATTTTTTATCCACCACCTGATATCTTCCTTTGTACTTTCAGGCAACAACATATATTTGTTATATTTGAGAGAATAATTAAGAGCTAAAAACTTTTCTCTCTCAAGTAATTTGGTATAAACCCAGCCATATTTAACAGCGGGACACGCTGACGTTAGCACGCCTAAAAATATTGCCAGTTCACGAATAGTACATCTTTTTGTATGTAAAAATTTATTAGCTAATATTTTAATCCGGTTTTTCATTTTCTTGGGGAATATATAAAGTCATATTGACTGTATCAAATATAAAACCTAAAAACCTACATTTCTTTGATGGATTCATTTTACTTTTCTCATAATTTATAATAAAGCCTAACTTTATTAATATGTCTCTAGTTTTATAAATATTATTTAGACATTTATTATATGATTCCCCCATACACAAAAAGTCATCTAAATAGACAACAGATAGATATCCATGTGAACGTAGGTAGTGTAACACAGGCTTTAGTAATTTGGTGTACACGTAAGGCGCGGTACAAAGACCAAAGGGGAGAACATTAAATTCAAATAACTGTTTCTTGTATCTTTTGGAATCCCAATAAAAACGCAACCATGCTCTGTCATCTCTATCGACAGGCAATAAAAAATATGCGTCTTTTAAATCTATAGTTGCCATATAATAATTTTTATCTAATAATTTTAATGCCGTGCGATAATCTTCCAATTTAAAATGAGTAACCTGAATAAATTTATTTAATTCTTTTAAGTTGAGAATGAAACGATGCTTCCCGTTAGATTTAGGTACAGTAAAAATAGGGGAAATAAATTGTTTTTCACATGGAGTACAAGACGATATAAAATCGGACTCGAGTAATTCAGCAATACAATCGTCGATTATTGTCATTTCATCAGGGGTATATGACCTTAGTTTTTGTGTTCCGGTTTGATGGGGTTCAGAAAGAAACGGTATTTTATAACCCCTTATCCACGACAGAATTATTTTGTCGTTTGTTATATTAATCCATTCGTCATAATAAAATTGTAGTCTACCCGCGACAGTAAAAAGTTCGGTATTTTGTACCTCTGATGACGTGATTAACGTCTCCAATGCTGGTGACTGTACTGGCTGGTCCTGGGTTGGTTGGCCCCGCGGTGGCGGCCCCGCGGCGGCGGCGGCGGCGGCAGCGGTGGCCCTTGGCGCCGAGGTTGTGGGGGGTTCACTCGCTGCTCGGCGGCCGCTACTCGCGGTGCCCCCCTGGCGTTTAAAGTCTCCGGTCGACGAAATCCAGATGTGCTGGGTTGAGCGATTGGCTGTTGGTAGTACCTACGACTTGCTGTAGGCTTCAACTCTAATGCGGACTTAGATATGGCTTTCAATGACTTCAGATGATCATGTAAATCGGAACCAAATAAATATTCATCGATTTTTGTATTTTTTATTATATCTCGCTTTTGTTTGCTGATGGAATTTATAATGGAAAACCTCCTTGATACAGATTCTCTGTAATGAGTATCGCATAGTAAACGGCCTGCGTCACCTAATGTTTTTATTATTTCCTGTGGTATTATTTGTTCCTTTTGAGCCAATGCTAAATTCAGACCTCGACCTATGGCGGCAATACAACTCGCCATTTGGTTTTGCTTTTGCTCGCTATAAGAGTCCTTTTTTAAATTGGTTTCCGAAAGAGCCGATTTGACTTCGGGATTCAGCTTCGGTGCTTTCATATGTATGCAATTTTCTGCGGGAAGGTACTGTTTTAGCAAATCTGATTTTTCATCTTTTGGCAATCCGTTAATCAATATGTATTTCCACCTTACTGCTAAGTCCTTATGTAAGTTATCGCCAAAGCTTTTATCTTGTGTCGGGTCGGCACCTAACAGCTCTAAAATATCAGGTTCTAAATCTAGACTATTATCAGGATTCTCCGTTTGAAAAGGAGCCTCATTAACTGGGATCCCGTCTGTAAGCCATAAAACACAACATTAAATAAAATTGTTGTGTGAAACACTATTTCGAGAGAAATAGACACTTTTTATCCACACACGATAATGTCGGGATAAAATGAATTAGCATTTTATTTCATTTTATTTATTTTTGTGTGTTATCTACACACGGTAATCCGTCGAGATAAACAATAGGTGATAAAGCAAACACCAATATAACAACCCACACACGATATACGTCGGGATTTTATTGCAATTTTTTCAAAACGCCATTGTGTCTACATACGTAAAAACGTCGAGACATAGATAATTTAATTAAAAACTTATATATTTTTCCCATATGAGAAAAAACATGGTGTGTTATGTAAGAGTACTTATATCCTTTTTTAAATATCCATTGTAATACAACTACCGACCGACTGCTTACTTTTTTTTTTTTTTTTTTTAAGTGGGTAGCTGATTTTAGCTGATTTTCCCTAAGCAAAAAATGCTTTAGAATTTAACTTTGTATGTTATATCAATGATAGAAAACTCACCAACATTTTCTGGATCACTCATTAAATTAATTTGATGCTCCTCATTATCGGTTGATAACAAATGTTCCGTTCGTTCGTCCTCCGAAGAGGACGATTCTATTCGCCGACCTTTTTTAACCAACTTTTTAACCTTTTTAACGATTTTTTCCACTAAGTCACTATCATCTCTACTCGATTTCCTCTTTCTTTTACCCATTTCTAGACTTTATCGAAATTATATAAAAAATACTGTGGTTTGGACGACACCAAAACGAGTAATGAGTAGGAACAGTGAGTGCCGGTAGATGGCGGGCTGTCATAGTCCATAGATAAAATGAATTTGATGTATTATTTTTTTAATCAAAAAAGATTAAGTAACTCTTAAATGTGGTGAGGACAGCATCATCTCGTGAGCTGCTGCATGTAATATGCATGTAATATGCATGTAATATGTAATCATCTTCGGGAGAGATATGAAGTATAATTATATCGTCGTTGCTTAAATCACTTTAATTACTTTTTTCTAGTAAACTTTTCTTTAGATTTAAACATCTAGCAGTTAAATGCTTAAAAAATAAATAAAAACATAACTATAATTGCTATTTCTTCTTTCAAATGTTTAATACTTGAAAAAGTATTCATTTGACATTGTGGGTTACCTACAATGCGAAGAGATGGCGCTGCCTTGCAGCTTAAGGCTAGGAAAATTTCGACGCGGCGAATAGGGCCGTGGTAGCATAACGGTCAGTGCATTCGCCCGGATTGCGAAAGGTGCGGGTTCGAGTCCCGTCCGCTGCCTGGTCCGCGAGGATTTTTTTCTAGTAAACTTTTCTTTAGATTTAAACATCTAGCAGTTAAATGCTTAAAAAATAAATAAAAACATCACTTTAATTATCTTCCAAGAACTTCCATGGAGGATCTGTGAATTAGAGGGACTTCTTCTTTTATGAAAAGGACTTTACTAAAAATTGCTGTAAGAATAAATAGAATAACTCATGAATTTGTTTAGATAAATAACCTTGGTTTACGCGCAAAATAAAGATTGTGTCAATGACGTTATTTACGACAGTTATTGTACTTGAACTCATTATCGTGATCCGTATTTTAGTGGACTCACTGTTAGGAACTTGTGTAGTGCTCGGTGGACGGTCGTCATTTCCGTGTACCCAATGATATCTGGTATGATGTACCTCAGGAATGGCATAAAAGTCATCACACCACCGCTGATGTCGACCGCTTTGAAGCAGCGTGTGATCAAATCGCACAGTTTCTTCAAATTTTCATCATCCAGTTTGTATCTTAAAAGGGAAATTTCATTACTTACATTTTTTTGTCAGGTTACGTGTAATTTGTTGAACACCTAAGTACCTATACAGTTGTATTCACAAAAAATATACCTACAAGATAAACAAGGCCCTGTTTCTACTTTAGTAACAAGATAAACTAAAGTAGAAACGGGGCCTGATTTCGAGGTGTTGTGGTCCTGGGGCAACCACCCACCCCCCCAAATATTAACGGGAAAGGAAAAAAGTTATATTGAGTCAAACTTAAAAGATGAGTATATGCTGTCCCGGTCTTTTTATAGAACTTTTGAAGGGGAACAATTCCGTACTATATGATTTTTGTGTATCTTTAATCATTTACGCAGCGCACGCAACGCGAATCAGTACCCTTAGCACGAACCAATATCGTATTCGAATCGTTTGCGAGTCCGAAATGTCATTGTCAAATGTTTGACAATGACATTTCGATGATGATTTCATGACTAAAACTGATTTTTAGTTCACGTTACGCACTTTGTGGCGCTACTGTACAAATTTCCATACAAAATTTTACATTGACATTTCGGTTTGCAAACTATTCGAATTCGATAATGGTTCGTGCTAGGGGTACTGGTCGTAGCGTTATATTAAGCCTTCCTGAATAAATACACTATCTAACGATCTTTTCGATAAATCGATAAAGATCTTTTCAAATCGGAACATTAGTTCCTGAGATTTGCGTGTTCAGCCAAATAAATGGTGCATTCGGTACAACGGGTCCTAAACTACGCAACCAATTTTCACTACCAGTTAAATAATGTAATATATAAAATTCTCGTGTCGCGGTGTTTGTGGTTAAACTCCTCCGAAACGGCTCGACCGATTTTCGTGAAATTTTATATGCATATTCAGTAGGTCTGAGAATCGGATGTAATCTATTTTTCATCCCCCTAAATGTTAAGGGTAATCCACCCTTAATTTTATTTTTATTTTTTTATGATACAGCATTAGCAAATACATATAACCCTGATTTTTCAACCCTTTAAAATCAACCCCTATTTTACCATCGCGATTTTTATTTTTAATAATTTCTTTTTTTTTTCTCAATTCAAGTTGATCTTCGGCCTTCACCGGTCGATAACCGATCAACGATCAATCGATCAGCTATCCCCGCTAGATGTCTACCTGGGTCACCTCTCATCCAGCAAACATCACGGAGTAGGGATGAGAAGGAAGCCGGTCTCCTGTCTTCCTCAATATACAGATTTCGGCCATTTTTTTGATTTCATTTGTGTATCGATCGTAGCAGTGACTTATACGTATTATTTTAATTTTTCTGTGCATCTATTACGTTAATTTTACTCTCATCGTGAATTAATTTCCAGTGCAATAATTATTTTTTCACATTTTATTAATAACTGATAAAGGTCACAATGTTAGTTACCATTCTCATCCGAAACGGTCCGATTTTTATGAACTTATATGCATATTCCGTGGGTCTGAGAATCAGCTACTATCTATTTTTCATATCCTTAAGTGGTAATCGTTGTCCACCTTGTAACGTAGTGTTCTGAAACCTACAATGCGCCTCTGCACCAAAATTCAAACTATTGGGTGTTGTAACGTAGTGTTCTCATATGGATTAGGAAATGTTATTCCAGGAAATTGATAGAACACTACGTTACGCAACCCTAAAATTTTTTTTGGACAATATTTATTTTTTTATAATGTGGTATTAAAAATACATACAAACCTAAATTTTCGCTTCTACCACCTGTCCTATTTTATGGCGGTATGAAGTTCGCTGGGTCAGCTAGTAATTATATAAAGAAATTCATTGTGTTTAATGTATTATATATAATGTATTATATAGACTTGTAAGTCTAAGAACAAAAACTATAGTCCATACTTCAGCTCTACACCAAAACGAAGCGAGGGCGGGCAACTAGTCATTAATATTTAGCTAAATATTTGGTAATTAAACTCTGTATAATAATTAAGCACATAAGGTTATCTAAAACTTTGAAATATATCCAATTATTTTAACATTAATTAGTTCGATAAAATATAACCTTTAGACACTTGCAATACTAGGGCCCGCGTTTTGCCTTCACTGGTACCTTCTACTACTGTTAAACACTACAGCAGTTTTAGGTATTTGGGTGCAGATTTCTGTAAGATGAAGGTACCATTCGAGTGCTTCAATTCGAGCAGACTGAATATGTACTGTGTCTGTATCTACTCTACCTCTCCTTAATTATTACCTTTTGCCAGCCACCAGCCGCCATACGATATTGATAATGGAGACATCAAATAAGTTGTTAGCGAGTACTGGTTTTGTAGTTCTGCTCAGCATTTTCACGAGCTCCTTACATTCTTCGGAGATGTGTTCCTCCATAAGTCGGGATCCATATCCGTGACTCTTCATGAATTTTAAAGCAATTCGCCTTGTCTTTGCCCATGAAGAACCGTCGTTAAAGACGATACCTAAAATTTGTTCTAATCTAAGTTCTTTAATGTAATCTAATGAATTAATAAATATTACTAATACTACGTTAACCCAGTCACGCTTAGTATGTATTGGTTTTATGGAGAGTACCATAAGTACGGTAACCTTTGTGCTTGTGATACTGGCTGCAGGAGGAGCTCGGTGGCGCAAGTGGTTAGCGCGTTCGGCTGCGATCGTTGAACTTATGCAACTTTCGCAGTGGTCGGTCATTGGATGGGTGACCGTGCTTCGGAAGGCACGTTAAGCCGTTGGTTCCGGCTGCATTTGCAGTCGTTAGCACCCACCAATCCGTACTGCGCCCGCGTGGTGGGTCATGGCCCAATCTCCCTATTCCATCCATTGGGAGGGCCTGTGCCCCAGCATTGGGGACATTATTAAGCTGATGATGATGATGACTGGCTGCAGTACCACTCTGGTAAATATATTTTGTGTTCATAGCGTGAGGCGCCAACTTATAAATACCTCATTTGGCGTCGCTTGTCGGCACTCGCTGTCGCTCACCAATATTAGTTTCACGTTTCCCATACTATATCTATTCTTCTCTACATACACACACACTCTAACACACACGCACGTACGCACACACTGACACACACACGCACGCACGCATAAATACACATACATACAAAATTGATTTTTATTTAGTTATTTTTAATTGATTTCAATAAGTTTGTTTTGTTACTAATAATAATTTCATATAAATTTATTAATGTGACGCCATCCTATTTATTATATTAGAGTGCCCACGTGGTGCCCACAATACAGGTTTCTCCTAGTGTGGGACCCACAGTCAATGCTACAGTATTGTTACGTTGAGTCAAAATAAAAAAAAATGCACCTTATATTATCTCTGTTATGTATCTACGATTGTTTGAAATTTTGTAGAATTTAATTAATTAATGGACTTAACAACTAATTGGAAATAAAATTAGTACCTACCTATTATTATTATTACGTCATCCATAATAACTGATAGCGCACCAACTATGGACAGCTCCACAAAGCTCGTCTTTATTGGTTACTTGCATTGGTCCTTGCCAAACTTGCCCAGCGTCGAGTCTAGACGGAGCACCTACCTTGTACCAGTTTGCCTATCCTGTGATGCTCGCGTTGGGTTAAGCTCGGCCAACATGTATTGGCGGTTCAGGACGCATTAAAAACTCAGCCGTTAGTGCTATAAGAGCCAAGTCGATAGCATATTTCGTAAGCTTGTTTCTAAGTTTGTGCCTGCCTAAGGGTATGGACTTTAGCCTGACAGTGTATTCTGCTATCTTCATTTTTATTGCGCTTAAATGTAAGTGTGTGAATGCGAAAATTTTCTGAATCAGTGGCGAAGAGAACGGATTGTAAGAATGATTTCAGGTTCAGATTATATTACAGATAAAAATGCTAGGGTTTGAATTGTTCCAAAGATTCTAACAGGTTTTCTACATGAAATAAATCATGATTGTATTGACTTTGTAACAACATAATGATTTGTAAATGTTGTTACATTATAATTTTAATGTTGTGGAGCTTTTTTCGCTCGTTGTTCTCCACATCTAAAAAATATGTCTATAAACGAGTTGGAGGGAAAAAAATTTGACGATTCAGAAGAGTTTAGTATATTCAATTTGAATCATCATCATCATCAGCAGCCTATTAATGTCCCCACTGCTGGGCCACAGGCTTTCCCGAAGGATGGAATAGCTAGATTTGAATTAAGATATATATACAATAAAAGATATAGATTATATTGATTTCTGATTTCTATTATGGGCCAGATCAATCATACGCAAGGAGATTTTTCCGTGTCTGCCGATATACGGAGATGATGGATATAACTTCAATACTGTACTTAAGTATCGTATTTTAATTTTAATTTCATTATGATATTAATTTTACTCCATTTAGTTTTAGTTTCCAAAAATATAATAATTTCCCAGACAAGTAGTCATAAGGTACTGAGAGATTAAGGGATGGTTGTGTTTGGAGATATTGGTAAATACCAACCTGGCAACCAATTTAATCTGTTTTAGATTTCACTGATACGCCATTGAAGTACACGATATTGAAGTTACATTTTCTCTATATTTACTATCCTGATAAATAAGTTCAATAGATTGAACTTTTTTTATAATTTAATTAAGATTAATATTTGCATTGATCGACTGTTAGGTGGCACGAATAAGTTCACCAGGTCAGCTAGTAACAATATAAAAGAAAATCCAACTGAAAAGCGAGCACGTCCGGGTGAAGATTTTAGTTTTTTTGAAGTGAAAACTTCTTAAGCGGCGTTGTACACATAAAATTCGTAAGACGAAAACAATAAAATTGGAAAGGTTGTTGACTTTCAATATATTGGACGAAACATAGTAATGTTATATTTTATCATATTATAATAATAAGTCTCTAACTAGGACGTCCAGGTGGCAGCTTAATTGCGAAGAAAATGCATTTTTTTACAATAAATTTCGCTAGGTGCGCTTAAATGTAATTCATGTAAGTTGATTTTTCTGAGAGATAAACTTTTTAATGTAATATAAATTGTAATGTTTGTGTACGATAGCGCAATAAATAAATATTGTATTCTACCACATAAATGATAGTACTTTTTTTACTGATAATTAAAGCAATTCGTGCAAAATTATATTGCAAAATGTGCCAATATTCCCTAACCATTCCAAAATATCAAAAATGCACAACGTTAATATTCAAGTTTTCACTTCTGCCGGCACTCCTGGAGTGCAACCCGTCGTTTTTTTTATATTAATATCGTGGAGAGTTTAAGTGTATGTGGTATTTTTGATAATGACTTACAGTGTGCTTTTGATACAAAAATACTGAAAGCAAGTATAATAATAATAAACGTTTATTGACTTAAAGCAAGTTACAATATTTTAAATTAATAATACAAAGATTGGTGACAAGAGGCACATTGGAGCTTAAATATTGTTAAAGGTGACTTCTGTTGCCAGTGGTAGGATAACCTGTATTACAGGCAACAGGGTCCCCTCTATATACGTAAATACTGTAGCCGATTTAGGTGTACGCACATTGGTTGCATGATTACTTATATAGATATATAAACTAGTTATAAAAACTACAGAAACCGACAATAACTAAATGCTGCTGTATTTGATTACACAATAAAGTGTTCTAATTAATTATTTACCAAACACTCCGTCTCTTCGTAATCCATACCTTTCAGCCATTTGCTAACTTTTATTTTGCAGTTATACATTGTAAGGGAATGAATTGATAAAAGAGAATTTAATTTTTTATATAATTTTGCGCTCATATATTGGTAGTTTTTTCGGGCAAATGAGGTTTTACAAATGACATTAAGTAATTATGTTAACATCTATTTGCAAGTCAATATACATCGTGAATTTTTAGTTACCTGAGAAACTTTACTAGCTAATTCAGACAATGCTTTAGGCAAAAAAAACTCGGGTAACTCATAATTCACTTATTTTAATACAAGAAACAACTTACCAAGCTTTTTACCGAAAGATCGTAACGTGTACATGAACCCATCAGGTCTTCCGTCGAAAACTTCCCTGGAGTACACCTCCTTAATCATTTCTTTTCCAAACACAACCACTGTGTTGACAGAGCCGAGTCTCAATCCAAGCAAACCTCCATACTTATTCGACCAACACTTCCATAAGCTATGATGATACTTTACCTTTTTGAGTTCGAATAACACGGAAAAAAGGTTTCCAACAAGCGGCAAAGGCTTTGGCCCTAGAAATTATTCGTGTGTTACAGAAAGTAAAAAAAAAAAATTAAAACAAACCAGAAAAAAATGGTCGACCTGGTGGAAATTTAGTAGGTCTTTTATTATTTTCTTTCAAAAGGTAAAACGTTAAAAGTATTATTACTAATAGAGCCCACATCCTTAAGTTCAAACGCCTGATATCTATCTGACGTGTATCTGACTACCTTTACTCGAAGAGTGCCAAATGTAAAGAATGTTTATCATGACGGTTCATCATTATTGTAAGACTCAGCATAAAATTTACATGAATAATCCTTGTCAACTCAAGTACAGCCGAACAAATAGTAAGCGATCTGCTGAGGTAAATCACTGCTTTAGCTAGTTTTCTATAGAAAATAAGCATAGAACTTTTAAAATTTAGTTTTATTACACTAATAATATACCCCATTACCTACGGTGCTGTGACTAAACTTCATCCGCCATTTCTCCAACAGTAAAAATTCTGTTAAAAGTACTGTCAAAAGTTGAAATTACCAATTCCAACTCTGAATCACAATTCGCAAATGGTTCCTTAGATTTTTTTCTTTCTCTAGAGTTATGTTTTTTTTATTTACAATAAACTACCTATATATAAAATCAAAGCAATTAGAGTGTAAAGAAAATTTTAAATTAATACGACATCCATTGTGTAAATTATTTGTGAAAACCCAATCATCCCATAGGGAGTTTACATAATGTACTGGACCTTAATTACATGGGGGTTTCTTTTATGATGACGAGATGTTTTGTTCATTTAGATTCTTGTGCCAATTAGATGCTTTGCAGTCATTTCTTAGATCTCAGTTTAGAATATTGCGTAATACATTTAAGTCATGCAATTAATCAGTGAATGTTTTTGTCACCTTTCAACGCGGACTTTGGTAGAACTGCAGGAATTAAGAGCCCTTTCACATTTTTTTGCAAATAATCGTAATTTTTGAGTACCTTAGAAAAGATTTAAACTATTTCCAATAAAAGTAAACAGTAGATTTATTCTTCCTATTGTAAGTTAATGTAGAATATTTGCAAATACTATTTTCCTTTTTTGTACTGATCGTTCTACTGCAGCTAGTTTACGGAAAAAACGATAATATGCACAACTTCAAACGCCTCAATCTCTCAATAATGTTCAATAAATTAGATCAAATTAAGTACTACGACATCAGAAATATGTTTTTGTTGTAACATAATGTATTAGAATTTTGATTTTCCATCTCATTAATTATCAAAAAGAACATCTAACACCCGCGAGTTTTCCCAAAAAAAAATGCAGGCTTACCTCGTATTTTGATATTAAATTAAATAGAATTACTATCAAAAACTTTCATAAAACTAATCTACCATCAATAAACTACTGAAATATGTATATATTTTTATAATTAGTTCATTAATCATTATTTTATAAGACTCGAAACATCACCCGTAAAATGAAATTTAAACTAGTGCAAATCTACCTACGCGCCGATCAGTACGGCAGCGGCGCAATTTTGTAAAAGGGCTCTTAAGTAATTTTTTTGTCGCATTAACATGAGAGGTAACCTAAGGGATTCCTGCAATTGTTTTATCAAATAAATTGACGATCGGTTACCTATTCTTGTTTCAACATAACAGATGTTATCTGATGAGCGAGACCCATGGGATGGACTTTTTGTCACGTCTCCTCTGGATTGACAAGATAAGATATTTTTTGTAGTCCTTTCCGCTTTAACCATATCTACTCACAAAAAGGCCTATGACTTGACTGGAGTATTTTGGAAGAGTTATAAAAGTTCAATGGGTAGTTTATTTAAAAACTTGCGAATCTAGTGGTATTAATTCCATTATAACTCTAAGTTAACAATACTGATTGTAAAAGCAGGTACTATTGTTTTGAACGGGCTACTTAAGTAGCCAAAAGATTAAAAGAAATGAATTGCCTACTTAGGAATTTTCTTTAATAAAACCTATTAGTTCCTTCTGCTAAGAAAAACTGACGAGATATTGGCACATTTTGCAATACACTTCCATAATTCACATTTACTATAAAATTAAATATACGTATATAATGAACATCCCTAACAAAAAAAATGTCCTTAGCTACAAAAATCTTAAAAATAGGCACTTTCACAATGTTAAATAAATTCTTCATTTATATCTGCTTTATAAAATATTACTCCATTGCACAAACATTTTTGGAATGTATTCTTTCACCTTATCCATTTTTTTTGTTTTTCTACAAAGACGAATTGATTTTGTCATGATTTTTAAGTTCATCCGATATTACTAGTGGACACATCAATCGGCGCGCTTAGCATATAATGTTATTGCCTATATGGTTTTGAGGGTCACTAGGTTGGTCCCTAGCTAAAAATAAATGTTACATTGAGCAAAAAGTTTTTAAGCAGTTTGAAGCTGATTTTAACCAGCTTTACGTGTGGTTTTTAAAAATATATTATTAGGTTATGCCTTAGATTAAAACAAAATGGTAAGATACGGCACTCGAGGCACTTCGCTTTAATCACAATTGGTCATTCAAACATGCTGCATGTGCATTCAATATAACAACAATATTGCGTAAATTCTGTGTTAAAAAGATAAAACAATGCCTTCGATGCTTTTATAAAGAACACAAATTGTTCAAGATCAAATAACAAATTTCACAGCAACACTTTTCACATGGTTTCTCATGAATGTGTTTTATTTTTACGCCATTAGAAGAAAAGAACAACAATACAGCTCAGCCGTTTCTAGAGATAGAAAAGAAAACGTAGTCGCCAAGCCAAGCGACGTGGACTCGCCGTTTCGCTTGCGCTGTGTTGAAGCGTACAGGGGGCTTAGACAAAGTAACAATTTAAAAACGATAACGAAGTTCGAAATTAATAAAATGTATGAAACTGACATAAGCGGCGCTAAATCACGTGGTCAATCGTCATCGTCATCGAAAGTTGGTAGACAAAGTTACAAGTCGTAACGAAACGTTAAAATAATGAATTGTTTGAACGCTTAATCCCATACAAATGCGTAGACAAGCTGCACTTTTCTGTTTCGCTCGCTCCATACAATGCTTTTTTACAGAAGTGTGCGTGCATGCAAGTGCTTATGTAGTTGTATTATCTTATGTTATCTATATATGTTGTATCTTCCCTTTTATAACCGACTTCAAAAAAGGAGGAGGTTCTGTGTTCGACTGTTTTTTTTATGTATGTTCACCGATTTCTCCGTCAATTGTGGACCATTTTCCAAATTTCTTTTTTTATTCGAAAGAGTGCAACCAAGTCAGGATATGATGGTGGAATCCGGGGAAATCGAGGGAAGCCATCAAATTTCAAAGGCACGCACGATGTTTTTTATGCATGTTCACCGATTTCTCCGTAAATTGTGTTATTGTTTACTTGGACGATGTAATTTTAACTAAAGTGAATGAAATATTTTTTTTAACAAAAAATAAAACCGACTTCATAATCGAAAATGAAACTAAAAGTAAAAAATAATATCTGGTTCATGATTTGGAAGTCGGGCGGGGTCAATATTGAAACATTAAAAAGATTTTCGTTTCGGATCGGTAATAAACGTCTTTCAATCTTGACCCGCCCGACTTCCAAGTCATAATACTCTCCAATATTATTTTTTACTTTTTAGTTCCATTTTCGATTTTGAAGTCGGTTTAAGCTTTTGTTAAAAAAAATTGTTTTAATCTAATGGTATTGGTGTTTTTTATGGGACAAGAAATATTGGTTTATCACGGCATTTGAATAATTCCATTATGCGATGAGTTCAAGAAATTGTGCCTACCTACTGATGTTTTTACCATTGAAAATTACTATTATGTAGGTCTTACCCAAGTAAGGCTCTACTAACCCTTTGCAACTGAGTTTGTCCAGTACGGCAAGTTATCTTGAGATTTTGCTTAACAAATATATAATATAATAAAAATGTTTTTTTAGATTCCACTGAGTTTAATCTGACTGATACATAAAGAAAGATTTAATTGTATGCCATCGTGGGAAAGTTAGTAGCTGATAAATAGTATGTTTTTCTCTCAGTCCTATTACAATATGGTAAAATCGAAAAAAAATTGTAATGTTTAAAATTAGTAATAAATATAGAAACGCCAAAGAGATCCCAAATGAAAGAGAGATCAAAGCTTAACGCAACTATATGAAATTAATAGTTACTTACACCTCTTGCATCATTTTTTGCATCAATAATTAAGTAATGTATCGAAAAGTGATAATTTACTTCATGCCCACTGAGTAATTAAGTGATAAAAAATTTATACTCTTAGTAGCTCTATACATATTTAAAATAACATGCAATTGGTATCAATTCTGGCGTGATGCTCTGTACTTAAAACTTAATTTAACATCAATCTCTCATTTTCATTATGTATAGAAAATGACAAGGAAGCACTGTTGCCAAATTTAAGTTTAGGTTTAGAGAATCATGTCAGAGTTGACACCATTGTTCGCATTTAACTACTGCATCGCTGTCGCTGTAAGCAACGATGTGGTCGACGATGTAGCACGTTTAACAAAAGTAACCCATTTATATACAACCGAGATAGCACAGAATTAGTTTTATTAGGGCAAGCCCAACTATCTAATTTCATGTTTGTTTACAAATATAAAGCGCATACCTACATATACAAAATTTTGACGCAATATTTTCCGAGAATCTACTATGAATGGATGTACGCAAAATATTTCGCTCTAAATAATTGTGCTGATAATGGTACTATTGTAGCTAAACGAAATCAACGTTTGAAATCATGCGAGATGTGTAGCGTAGGTAATTAACTGACCACGCTGCTCGTACAGCTATATAAAACAACTGCGAGAGGTCTCTTATAGTTAGTTCATTGCCTGTTCGGACACGGACGTTGTGCTTCTCTGTACCATATTGCAGTTGATACACGTTAATTTGTAAGAAAAGTGATGGCGCCTGTGAATGCGGATGTCAATGGGAGACAGGCTTATGTCCCGGTGAAGGAAACGCTTCCAGAAGTTGACACGGAAAATGGAAAATCGGCGCAAGGGTGAGTACAAATTGCTATCGCAGACAATAAGGAATGATTCGATCTTATTGCATTCGCAATGTTGGGGAAGTGCATTAATTAACGAAGATAAAAGAAAATATAAAATTGGGTATAACATAAGTATTTGTTTTAGGTAATGAAGTTATTTGCCTCGAAAATTGTAACAGTTACATTATGTAACTAAGTTACTTAAACAAATTCTTATGCAGTTTAATAATATGAATTTTAAATTTTGGCAGCCTTGGCCTTTAAGTATATTAGGATTTAAGAAAATATAACTAGAAAAAATTCCACGCGGACCGACGGGATTTAGACATCAAGCAGTTACATGCTTAAAAAATAAAAATTATAACTATATTAGGATTATTTTAATTTATATGTTTTTAATCATGAATTAATATGCTTTTTAGTAGAGTTTACTTGTATGGAGACTTGGGTACTTTTGGTTTATTTTTGAGGTAGAATTTAGGAATTTTAAGTAAGCAAATAAAAATTTTAATTTGTATATTTCGTATTTAGGTACATAAATTATAATTTATTCGAACTTGATGTATTATATAATAATAACAGTTGAATTCTCAGTAGCACCATATAGAGCGGTAAGGAGTAGATATTCCGTCGATTAACTTAGATGAAGATTACTTAGGATTTTGCAAACTTTCATTGCAAACAATTCACGTAGCATCCAGCTATTTATCTTTTTAACCTTATTGGGTTTGTTTATTATACCGAGAACGCGCCGAGAATCTCGTCAATCATGTTATAACGTCGAACACGGTCATAGAAGGGCCGAGTTTATTATGAGACAGGTTCTAAAGCCGCCTTTTGTTTAACCTTTTTTATTATTATTGCAGTCCTTTAAACCTTTAGTGACAACTAAAAAGCTGTTTAAAAAAACAAAATAAAGTGAGGGGAAGTGTTAAGCAAAAACAACATTTTAACGAATCATTCTAAACATTTTTAACGGACATAATGAACAATATTACTTACATAGTGTGTTTTTTCGCTAGTTTGAAGTGCATTTTGCAGACATTGGACTGATTGCAGTCAATCATCGATATGTGCGTTTTTAAATGAACAAAGCGAAAGACGTTTTAAATATTGTTTATTCGTACCTACTTATAATTATAAATATATATTGTACTGCATATACATAGAACGTGCATTTTTTAATTGTACAAAATGATTTTCTTATTAAAACTAATAACAGTTCTTAATTGACAATACCTTATTAAATTTTTTATCTTCTGATACATCAAATAACAAACCAACAATTTCTTTTTTGAGGAAATGTACTGGTTATTTTATTCTGTAGTGGGGGGGTACCCCTGGGTTAGGGGGCCCACCTACTCTGCCGTCAGTACGGCCCTGTTTTCTTTATCTCATCTTTACGGAATCTGATTTAGGTACTGACCTAATCTTATTTCTGTCTATTTCGCATACCTAATACTGTGACCAATAGAACAGAATGTAAAACCCGATTAGTTATACAACTGTCTTTGATAGAACTAAACGAATTTTTTGTCATATTGTATCTTTTCCATGACGTAATTAATGTAATGAATAACATAATTTATTCATACTTAGAACTAAAGGTGAAATAGTTTTTAATTTAATGATTGGTTTATTTAGCTTGTTATGCTTTAAAATATTAGGCATTTTATTATTTTTGATAAATTTTCCATTAACAGTTCTAAACTGATGTAAGTATACCTACCTATTTACCTATCTGTATCTGTCTGTATATATACTTTCATTTTATGCAGTTTTTTCATAAATAGAAGAGGCGTACACACCACACACATATGGCATTAGTCTTAAATTTGAAAAAGGATAACTAATTATTATAATCCGAAAGTTCGGTCTGTTATCCTTTCACCGCAGTACCGCAGAACCAATTTTGAGAATTTTGACTTCAAAAACGCTTGCTATGGTTGCCCTTTATGGATAAAGTTGAAACCGTCGAATGACGAGTAGGCCTCTTTGAAAGACGTTCTATTATAATTCAGGATACATTTATTTGGATGGATGATATCAATATTATATAACACATTTTTTATAATTACTGGTTATGAAAAGTGAATTATCTACCATGAGAGCGCGTAAAAAGAATAAGGTCAATCTAAGTCAGTCAAGCTCCACAAACAGTGGCGAAAGAAACCCAGAATCAGACGCAAAAAGATGATGCTGTGTTTGTGGTGGGATAGGAACATAAAATTGGAGGGGTAATCTCTATGAGCTCTTAACGACGGTCAAATCCATTGATTCGACAGACAGAGATTGAGAAACAGTTGATGAGATTAAACCAAAAAACTCAGGAAAAGAGTCCTGAATCTAAAACGAAAAAACAATTCTAATTAGCCTTTCGTTATTCTCGTATCTGTAGGTTTTACCTAATGTTAGCATTGTAAAAACATTACGAACTAACGACTTACTGGAAAAAAAATACTTCATGAAGGTTTTGTTGTTTACAGATATTCGTATGAAATCTTATTGGAAATTGCCAATTTCTTGTTGTCGCGGACCTCAGTGCGCCCGCGGATCGGCGTCATTTGCGGCTCTGGGATGGGTTCGTATTGGAAAGAGGGTACTTATTACTTTAAATTACCTTTTTAACGATTTGTTTTAGGTAGATATAGCTTTTTAGGGTTCCCTACCCAAAGGGTTAAAACGGGACCCCATTACTAAGATACACTTCACTATCCGTCTGCTTGTCTGTCTGTCACCAGGCCGTGATATCTAGACAGTTGCCGTTCCTTGCTCTATAGGTAAGGGCAACACGTGGACGCTTGAAATATTCACAGAATATTTAGTTGTATATTCACTTCAAAAATAAATAAGTCCCATACAACAGACGTGATTTTTTCCCGTATTTTGCTCGATATTATAATATAGTGTCTAATGTTGTATAGATAATGGTACGGAACCCTTCGTGCGCTCCAACTCGCCCTTGCTGGTTCTTTCTTTTCTTTTCTATGAATATTTATTTTTATTTTGTAACGTGCAGTCTCGGCTTTGGTTTGAATATCAATTTTTTTGCTTCAGGATCGCTCGCCGAAACTATAGAAGATGCTACCTGCGTAGATTACGAGGACATTCCCAACTTTCCGATCAGCACTGTTGAAGGTCATCATGGAAAATTGGTGTTTGGGAAGCTGCAAGGCGTACCTGTAGTAGCTATGCAAGGCCGTTTCCATTACTACGAGGGGTATCCTTTGTGGAAGGTAACTTGTTGTGCTTTTTACTTGATAAAAAAAAATGTTTAAGATAATCAGTATCTGAAACTCTTTATCCAAAGAATCGGAATTTCAAGTAGAAAGGTACTTGTGCTCGGGAGGCAGGGCCGTAGCCAGAGTTGTATTTAAGATAGGGCAGTGGTAATTAAAGGTAGGGCATAAGCAGGGACGTGTCGGCCTTCGCAGCCTGCCCCGTTAGGTAGGGCAATAGTATTTTCAAGAAGGGCAGTGCCCTATAATGCCCTAGTCTAGCTACGGCCCGGTCGGGAGGTCACTACTCTCCTAATTTTGGCATAAGAGCAATGAGTGTGATGTTTTCCTCTATACTATTTTCTTAATGATTAAGAAAATAGTCACGTTAACTTTACGTTTACATATACATTTTATTCACAAAATGAAACTGGTATCCATTTATTACACAACTTTTATTTGTCATTACTACTAATGACAATTTTAATTTCAGTTAGAATGTATTTATTTCGATTTTATCAATCCCACAAATTGAATGGCGTTTGGGAGTTTTTCAGGAAACCACTTATCCCAGTATTTACTTACTGAAACTGCAAGTTTTAGTTTGTTTTTATTTTATATTATCGTTATGAATTGTATATTTTATTCAAAGGTTTTTCTTTGCTAAAAATCAAATTGTTTTTATTAAAAAAAGAATATAAATATAAAACTCGAGCAAAAGTTAAAAAAAAAGGTAATTTTGCGACTGTTTTGATGAGTTTATTTGGTATGAGCTAATTGTTAGTGGCAGTTGCGGCAGAATTAGATAGATAGCGAGCGTTAAGTTAAGTGTTTAACAAAATATCAATGCTAACGAAACGTAGAAATGACGCAGTAGTAATCCTTATCAGTGAGTAAATAAATGCGTTTATTTCAACTGTAATATGATGTAATCATGAGTGTCATCGCCAATACGTTTACTTATTTGTAATCCATTTTTGTTATCGATAGTCGCAAGCGCCTTCAGATCAATCATGAAGAAAATCTGAACATTGTACTTCTTTTACAGCTCTGAAAGAAATATTCCATATTTTAATAGCTTCCTGTTTACCGATAGTAATTCATTATAATCATAGATAAGCACAGTAAAAATTATTGTTTGGAAAGATCTGGATGGCTGACGCAAAGCAATTCTCGACCTCCGACGGGAGGTTATCAGTGTTTGGAGCGAACGAGAGTTAAGGATACTATTATATATAATCATCCCATTTGTATTTTATTTACATGACAATTGTATCTCCCGGGCGTGACTGAATGGAATGAGTATGGATATATTTTCTTACTTTACCTTTTCTTTCTAAAGTACCTACATCTTCCTGTAATTACCCTAGCTACGTATATGTTTAGGACTGGAATGCCGAATAAATGATTTTGATTTTATTTGATTGATATGTTTATATAGTACGCAGGTGTGTATGCTCTATCAATTAGGCACAATCATAGACTTATAGTGTGGCCCTAAGTATTATATATGATATAGGTAGATTTCTCAATTCAAACTGACACATAGTTATATTTTTTATTTCTTAAGCATTTAACTGTTAGATTTTCTTTAAATTCAAACTGAAACAATTTTAGGCCATATCTGGTAACCTGCAGTCTCTCGCAAACCCATATTACACTCAGTTTGTGTGAGATTAGGTCAATGTGTCATATTTAAAGGAATAACTATACCTACCTACCTACAAAATTTCTTTGACCGTCCTTACTTGTCAGTAGGACAAGTCAGGACGGTTGAGCTTGAACGGCACATTTTTCTACCTACCGCACACTTAAACTTACTATACCAGGTAACCTACGTATTACATCATCTCAACCACGCTCCCCCTTAGTCCCATTTCAAATAGAACTGTGGCAATCTCTCTTTCTCTTCTTTGAGGAACTCGATGGCGCAAGTGGTTAGCGAAGGGCTTAGGGAAGGCCTATGCCCCAGCAATGGGGACATTAATAGGCTGATGATAATGATGAATCTCTCTCTTCAATAATTAAAAGCTCTTTTATAGTGGCAACTACAGCAGAAATAAGTACTTTATTTCCAGACTTCCGCTGAGGCCGTTACGCTTCGATTTAATTACCCGACTGCGCAATGCAAGAGCGCGAAGCGCGACGCGCAGACAGGGTATAGTGTTTAACAGTCTATATATTTACTAGCTGACCCAGCGAACTTCGTACCGCCCTAAAAAAATAGGGGTTGTCCAGCGGACAAAATTGTGAATCTAAACCATTCTCAGATCCCCTTGAACACACACAAAAAATTTCATCAAAATCGGTCCAGTCGTTTAAGAGAAGTTCAGTGACATACACACTCACAGAAGAATTATATATATAAAGATGTTTGTTCCTTTGTGGCACACTAGAGACTAAACGCCTGGACCGATTTTGATGATTCATACATCAATCGATTCGTCTCAATCATGGGAGTGCTACTAAAGATATGATAGTAATCAAAATTCAATATGGACAAAATTAGGCGCCATATTGTAACGAAGTAAAAAAAATAAGTTGACAAAATATGCCGAGTGGGGTATCATGTCTAGATAATCGAAAATCAGGTTAAGGTTTCTAACACCATTTTTTATTTTATATGATTGAAAGTTGCATATTAACCACTTGTGCTTTTAATTTCAATCTTACGTTTGTATGGATCTTAATACAATCTCTTCATACATAATAATAGCATATAGATTATAATTTATGTTGTTATTTGGTGAATTGGCCAAAATATAACAAAAAGTGTCACGTGAGACGGAAAAAATCTCCCATCTTGCGAGCCATTTTGGCCTGCACGGCAAAAACAATAAAAGTTACATGAATATAATGTATGGTGGAATTGTATCTCATAAATAGTTCTACAAAAAAGTCCAGGACAGCATATATCTATTTTTAATGTGTAAGCCATTATAGCTAAAATAGTGAATCAAAAATAAAATATTATTTGAAATAAATTTCCAAAATGCATATTTTGTATAAACAAATTATATTTTATCAAAACAAATACTTTTATCGCTTTTGATATTTAAAGACTTTTCGTCTTTGCCTTTTACTCTGTGTAATTTCGACAAATATTTAAAAAGTTACAACGATGTTACGATGACAAAGTGATAGCGCGTTGTGCTATGCAGGAGTACGAGTATACTGCGGAAATCTGCGGGAATGGTGGGAAAAGTGATGAATTTTGGTGTTTATAAACTTAGATAAAACCTAGGAGGAACAGAAAAAAAATGGGGTACTGACAGTATCTAATCCTATACGAAGTACTTACAATAAAACTGTGATATAGTTCCTTCTTATTAAATGATGAAAAATAAGTTATCTTATATGGTATTCATATTTTTTTAAATTTAATGAAAAACTGAGAATGAAACGGTCTTCAAAGTTTATTTTAACGATATTACTTCATATTATTCTGCAGATAATTCTGCAAAATTCGAAGCAAATAATATAAAGTTTTATAGGTAAATCAACCCTCCCATCACCCTACCCCAATAGATATTTCGATAATGTAGCTTAGAACCAAGGCCCTATCTATTTCTATAGGGAAATTCATCATAATCGATTTAGCTATTAGGGTGCGGAATCGTAACAAACAAAATCACTTTCGCATCTATAATATTATATTATACTAGTGATCCGCTCCGACATTGCATGGGTGAAATTTATTTTAACGGGATAGAATATAGCCTATGTCACTCGAATATAATGTAGTTATAAAGAAAAAAAAAATACTTAAAAAAATCTTCTCGGAGAAGTTGTTAGAATTTTTCCAGTAAAAGTTTCTTTAGTTTTATAAATCGAGCAGATTATTCAACTTATTAAGATAAATGATGATAATACTTAAAAATATGTTAAATAATGTAGCTAGCTACCTTAAATGTGAATTGTATTTTCGAAATCGGATCAGGTTTGAGAGATTATTTGTTACACGCATACAACTCTTGCCTCTTTATAATACATTAAACTAGTTTTTTACGGGTTAACCTCTCTGGCACCTGCATATCTGTGAATTATGTAAGTAAAACAAATAATGAGATAAGGATATGCACTGCATTTGTGTATATCACAATCTTAGAGTTGCATACAGCCACTGCCAATTTTAGATAGTCGACGATTAAAATTAATGATTTTTTTATTTACTACTAAAAAGAACATAAGAAAAAGATGACTTTTTGAATAAATACAGAAAATAAGCACTAGTATATAGTTTACATTAATTAGATATACGGATAAGGAATTGATTTAACTTTACACATTTTTGCGAAAATTGAGGCCCATAAGGCCCTGATGGTAAGGTGTCGTTTAGACCACCGCAATAATCAATAATCCACTTGATATTAACTCCCTTATTGAAGTGACAAGACTGCAGTATATACCGTCTTATAATTCTGACTAAAAAGTGTAAAATAAAAAAGATGAATTTAAAAAATCAAAAAACCCGACTGCTTAAAAATTACTTCAAATTAAAACTGAAAAGAAATAAACAAGTCCAGTGGTCTATAATTCTGTTATGTAAGGAACAAAGCTAGGTTAACAGTCGGGACCCATTATTAAAAAAAATTGACCCATCCTTGAATATCTAATGGGTCCCGACTGATAAAGTAGCTTTGTTCCTTACTAACAGAATTATAGACCACTGGACTTGTTTATTTCTTTTCAGTTTTAATTTGAAGTAATTTTTAAGCAGTCGGGGTTTTTGATTTTTTAAATTCACCTTTTTTATTTTACTTTCGCTTTAAGGTTTGCATCGTAATTAGTATGAAGAAAATAATAACTTAATTTACGTACTACTAGATGGTGCTATACATTTTTCCTTACTAATTTTCACGAAAACGCTAATGTAATAACCTAAAAAATTAAATATTTCCAACACTGACACCAATTAGCCTAGCCCCAAAGTAAGCATAGGTACTATATTAAGGCTTGTGTTATGGGATACTAAGGTAACGGATAGAATACATAATATGTATTCTGTCCGTGTACATATATAAGTATATTTTAAAGAAATACATATCAAACATTCATGACTGGAGTACAAATGCTCGTATTTATCACACAAACATCTGTCCCCACCAAGATTTGAAACCGGGGACCTCTTGAGTCGGCGACACCATGAAACCAGGCGGACAAACCACTCGGACACGGAGGTCATCAAAGTTAAAACGTGGCGCCATTAACACTTAGGACTCTGTGTACATCTAAACCAATAGCAAATCCTCGATAACTCTCTTAATAAAACCGGCCAAGTGCGTGTCGCGCCACGCGCAGTGTAGGGTTCCGTAGTTACGTGAGGTGACCGATCTTTTTAAGTGCTTATATACTCTTTTTAACGTAACGATAGCACGATTCAGAAGCTGTTGCCGTTGGTACTCGCAGTAGTTTTGTGGAACTAATGATATTTTATTATGGTTTTTAAATAGTTTTTTTTTTAACTTGAAAACAATCAATGAAAGGTTTTACACTCATTTATGTTACTATTAATGGTTTCTTCGAAAAAAATTTCAATAAGTAATAAAATTTCTTTAACAAAGTTGAACGACTATTACTCTTAAAGTAACAAATCTATCTTAACCGTTATAGTTTTCCTAAAAAGTTCATAAAAATCACTATTTTCATGATTTTTTCCAGGATTTTCACGCCAATAGTTTAGCTTTTATAGGGGAGCGGACGCTCTACTCGAACAAAAATCAGCACTTTAAAGTTCAATATTGTCAAAAAAATCGTCTTAGGGACCCCTAACTATTTTTTAAGGGCTTATTCAACAATACCCCACACAATAGGGAGGGTAGACGATGAATAAAATATGATGCCGAGGTTACATATAGGGGAGCTACCCTAAAAAAAATATTTTTCTCAATTTTATTAAACCATTTTGTCGGCGCGATTAAATATACCTACATATCCCCACAAGATTACAACTCTCTAGTGCTAAAATCTAAGCAAAACCGGGAACGGACAGACAGACAGACATGACGAAACTATAAGGGTTCCTTATCAGGACTACGGAACCCTAAAAACCACTTGCAGAAAAAGTGTCCCGAGTCAATCAAATCGTTCCTTAATCACAAAAGAAACTGATTTTTTTAAAGAATCGTTAACTTCTCTTACAGTGTTGTCTGCCTGTACGAGTGATGAAACTGCTAGGAGTGGAAACTTTGATAGTGACGAACGCAGCCGGCGGACTGAATCCCAGTTACAAGATAGGCGACATAATGATAGTGAGGGACCACATCAACATGATGGGCTTCGCGGGAAACAACCCACTGCACGGGCCGAACGACGAGAGATTCGGACCCAGGTTCCCGCCGATGAACAAAGCCTATAAGGTCGAGTTCAGGAAGATTGCAAAAGAGGTAAGGTTTTCTCTTTCGTATAGCACAGATCACGGTAATCCATCCAAAAAAGTAGTGTAACTGAGTGAGATTAATTGCAGACTAAAGATTAAGTGCATTTCGAATTAGTACCTTACTTCAAAATGCGTATACCTTACCTACTACTTTTTTACATAAAAGATTTGAGTGCGTTTGACTACAATCGGATGTCAAGCAACGATGTGGTCTAAGCTGGAGCACGCAAACTCAAATATTGCCTTTTAAATCTTACCTTGTAGGTCCCTATATTAAATGTATCAGGGAATACAGACACAGGAAGGGAGTTCCATACCCTAGCGGTCCCTACGCATTTTGAAGGAGACTTAAAAAGTAGTAGACATAAAAAAAACTTTAAAGTTGAGATACCTCGTATCGTATTGTAAACTTTTATATAGCCTTTTGGGTTAAATAGTTTTTTTCTATTTATTGAGGAAACAAACGTTTTAGAACTTAAATAAAATTATCAGAAAATAAACCTAACATTTCCCTTAAACTTTGAAATAAACTAAACAGTAGGTTTAAGACAGAGCAAACAATAATTGTTTACTTAGGTATACAGTAAACAGTTATTGTTTGCAGTTATTCACTGAGGGGCGAAAGTGACCGATTACCAAGGCTGTAATTTAATACACCAGAGTTGGGAATATCATTTTCTTTCGAGGTATACCCGCAGGCTAATAAGGTTAGAGTCTAGGGCGCAAGGAACAAGGGGCGACCGGCGCGGGCGCGGTGCTGACCTGAGACTTACATTAAATAAATACTAGCAAACCAGTGAACCAAATGTTCACCAAAACCTGATTTCTCGAAAACCGGAAGAGCTACGTTACTCAAATCCGGTTTGTAGTCTTATCAGACTATTCTTAACTTATAACTTAAATATTCTCTTTATCTATCTCTTACGGTTTGGCCGCTGAAACAGCACCACAGACAGACAGACGGACGGACTTGTCTAATAGATAAGAGATTTGGTAATATTGGGGAAACACCTGCCTTTTAAATAAAACTCCTGCGTGCGCAACATCATCACGAACATCATCGTTATTTACAGAGATTTTTTTTACAAAATGTTATTTTTGACAATATTGTGGAAGGATTCGCCAGCGAGAAAGCAAGGAAACGGGGTTTTTGGAAGGTTGACGACCTCTGTGGCCGAGTGGCTTGTACGCCGGGTTTCATGATGTCGCCGACTCGAGAGGTCCCGGGATCGAATCCCGGTGGGGGCAGATGTTTGTGTGATGAATACGAGCATTTGTACTCCAGTCATGGATGTTTAATATGTTACTCTATATAAATATACTTAAATATGTACAGTACCTATATGCATTCTATTCGTTACTCTAGTATCCCATAACACAAGCCTTACAGTGCTTACTTTGGGGCTAGGCTAATTGGTGTGAGTGTTGGCAATATTTATTTATTTTTTATTATTTTATATATACTTATAATAATGTTCTCAATTTTCATGTAATTCTAATAAGTCTTAAATATTTTTTTAATATAAACTCTATTACTTTAGAATTAATAGTTTAAAAAACTAAAAACACGCTTTTATTTACAGCTCTAAAAACAAACCAAATATACTCTCTGTTTACTTCATTTGTGCCTTAGAGTGTTTTATAACTGAAAAAGCGTGGGGCGCTATTCATTGCAATATTTATCAAATCAATTAATATATAACATGATTCATAATGCTTAACAATTCAGTTAAAAATTAATAATGAAGCGCCTCACGCTTTTTCAGTTATATATATACATGTTAAAATAAACTACAGTAGATCGCCCGCGACTTCATCCGCGTTAATTTCAAAATCCCACAGGAACCTAAAATTTTCCGGGACAAAAAGTATCCTGTCTCAATCCTGGTCATAAACTATATGCGTACCAAATTTCATCCAAAACCCTTATGTAGTTTTTGCGTGATCGACTAACAAACATATAAAATTAAATTTAATATTAATGGGATTAAAGGAATGTAAATTATGAAATAATAATATGAAAAATAATCATACATTATATTCGCAAAGTAATAGAGCAATTGTCGCTGGGATTTTATAATTTTATATTTTTAGGACTAAATATGTAAATAGATTGTAAAAATAAATGTTGGAATTATTTGTTTCCCTTCGTCTTGGGCGTAGAGTTCAGTGGTGGAGTCATTCGTCGGACTTATCTATAATAAAGAAAAACTCAACTTGGCATCAAAATTTGGATTTGGGTTCTACTTAACCTTCTACTTACAGTTATTTACAAAGTTTTACATGAAAAACTGACTGAAAACGTTTCTTGTTGAAAAATTTATGTTTTCACTCCCGAATAAGTCGAAAAGTATTGACTAACTTGATCAGGAAACTACAGCACTATGGATTTAGAGACACCACTCTGGATCTTATTGTATCATATTTGAGTGATAGGGTTCAGAGGGTTGACATCAATGGAGAAAAATCTCCTGGTTCGTCGGTTAAGATGGGAGTTCCGCAGGGCTCAATCCTTGGTCCTTTCTTATTTTTAATTTATATCAATGATTTGCCTTATTTTGTAAAGGATAACCATGAAATAGTATTGTTTGCGGATGACACTTCACTTTTGTTTAAAATTAAACGTAGGCAGTCGCAAATTGACGACGTGAACAAGTCTATTTCTAAGGTAGTCCACTGGTTTAACGTTAATAATTTACTGCTAAATGAAGGGAAAACTAAGTGTTTGAAATTTGTTTTACCTAATGTTAAACAGGTAAAAACAAATGTAAATATAAAGGATCGAAATGTGAGCCTTGTAGATACCACAGTGTTCTTAGGAATCACACTAGATTCAAAGTTGCAATGGGGCCCACATATTGATAAATTGTCGAAGAGACTTAGCTCTGCAGCATATGCTGTAATGAAAATACGTCAGTTAACGGATATAGAAACTGCCAGATTAGTCTATTATAGTTATTTTCATAGTGTAATGTCTTACGGTATTTTACTGTGGGGAAATGCCGCCGACATTCAAACAATATTTGTGTTGCAGAAGCGGGCTATTCGATCAATTTATAATCTTAAAGTTAAGGACTCCTTAAGAAATAAGTTTAAAGAAATAGGCATAATGACGGTTGCATCACAATACATATATGAAAACTTAGTATATGTCAAAAAAAATATTAGTTTATTTACTAAAAATAGTGAAATACATACACTTAATACTAGAAGTAAAAATAAGTTTACTTTACCTGCTACTAGGCTCCACAAAATTAATAACTCGTTTAGAGGCCTCTGTGTTCGCTTTTACAATAAAGTCCCAAGCAATATTCAAGAGTTGAGCCTGACTAAATTTAAATCGACTATTAAAAAAACTCTTATTAAGAATGCTTATTATAAAGTGTCTGATTATATTACAGACAAAAATGCTTGGGTTTGAACTGTTCCAACCATTCCAACGGGTATTTCTATATGATATATATTATGGATCATGTGTTGATGATACTTTTATTGAAAAGCTGTATTTAAAGCTGATTACGTAAGGAAGAATATCAGACTATTTAAGAAGATTTGAATGACAAAACGGCGTGGTCATGATTTCTCCATTGTTTTTGCTTTGTAATTGTTTGCAGTGTCCTACAGATAAATGACTTTAAGTTTAAGTAAATATGTTGTGGTTGATATAGGTGGTTATGGGTAGTCATGCTCTCTTAAAAGTCTCTTCGGTGGTGTCGTGTGAGGCGGGTCGTTACGTTCCCTAAAATATGGTTGAGCGAAGCGATGGCTGGTTCATGCGTCATGCTCGTGAACGGGTGCTGCCAGCGGAGATGAGTCTGCCCTAACTACTTTGATATTTAAGATATAAATGTTTAATTACACCTATTATAAATAACTCTGTTTGTATTTATACTGTGTGACACAGCAATCAAAATGCAGGTGTACAATTAATGTATAATTTCACATTATGTAATGAAGGGTGACTTCATGAATCATCTCTGAAGTCATTTTTCAACTTGACGACTCTGTAAATGATAAAACAGGGAGAAAAAAAACAGCCCTTGCTGAGTTTCTTGCCGGTTCTTCTCAGTACAAGGTCTCCCGCCGTAGATTTACGAACCGATGGCGTAGCTTCTCGACATTCATATGTGCTTGTAACAGCCTAAACTGAATAAATGATTTTGATTGATTGATTGATTGATAACACTAAAAACTCTATAGCACAAAAGTTGCTTAGAATTAGTCAAACTATCCTTTCCCATACTTATGTAAAAAAACATCCCCGAGAAGGGGTGGCGCCCACTCCCAGGGTAAAAGCAACCCTCGGCACATAGACAACTTTAAAGAAAAGGGTAAGTAGAACCTACGGCCTAATAATTTGGTGCTTATCGGTGCTGTTTGCTTAGGGAGACCGTGAATTGACTAGATTATTAATGACATTTTGATTCAATTATGTTAGGTTATGTAAGCTCTCTTCTGTAGGTACTTGTATTAAATTAGTTACACCTGTAAGAGAATGAATAGGTAGGACAGGCAAAGGGGCATATTCATAGTAAGCCTGTGGCGGTCAGCCGGCTTATTCGCAAACTTTTTTGACATTTACAGTGTGTACCTAATTAAAGAGATAAATGCATACCCATCGATGATGAACAAGTATTTTAGTAGCGTTTTAATAAAACAGTAGTGGATCACTAAATAGCTCGGTGATTATCACTTCCATCTGTCAAAGCAGTTAGCGAATAGGCCTATCGAACTCTAAATAAGTAGTGGATCACTAAATAGCTCGGTGATTATCACTTCCATCTGTCAAAGCGAATAGGCCTACCGAACTCTAAATAAGGCACTGGTTACGCAGTGCTTCATACTATACCTACAAGGAAATAAATGAAAAATTCTGTAATTGAAATTTATATGAAAGTTGTATTACCTATAGTAACTAAACTTTTACCCGGGAGCTTTATGTTGGTTTCTTGATTTTACGGATAATAGGTTCTCAATTACTGCTTAGGTACCTAGACTTTTGTTTAATTCTGACGGTGTCAATAAATCTTCGTTATCAGTAACATAATATACGCAATTTTTATAATGTTCAGAAAGTTCAGAATACTGGCCACTTGCTTTTAGAAACATAAATAAAAACACAATAAATTAAAAAACACATCAGCACGTTAAGGGGTTGTCCATTAATCACGTGAGGCTCGAAAGGGGGGGGGGGGGTCCGTAAAAAAACACGAAATATCACAAGGGGGGATGGTGGGTGTAGTAATATATCACGTGTATTTACGTGGTCCGAGGATACTGTATATATAAATTGTTCAGTTTCTTTCATTATATTGATGTCAGTCAAAAACAACATTTCTGTCTACCTCTAAAAGTTTAAAAAAATAAGATTCTTTGTAGGTACTAAAAATACACGTGATATGGGGTGGGGGGTGGCGGGCTAGACTTTAACCTCACCATGTATCACCAAGGGGTAGGGGGGGTTAAAAAATGCCAAAAAAAACATCACGTGATTAATGGACGGCCCCTAACAACGAATTTTCATTGACTTTTTCTGTCCGATTTCCATACACTTTTTCAGCCAGCTTAGTAGTACAACAGTAATGATGTAGTAACTATTAAGTAATAAGTGGTACCGAGTGAGGTCCTTTCATTTTGTTTCATTTAAAAAATTGCGCTTTCCGAACTGGTAGAGTATAAAATAAGTTTCCAGTAGAGCGAATCGATTTTCTATTTATTTAACTATGTCATTTAACCAGTGCGATACGTGTGAAATATGTGTTAGTTCTAATTACAACTTTACTCGTGCTTAAACGTTGTAATATATCTATGACCTCGTGTATTACGTTACAACTAAAGGTAATCAAGTGAATACGATAAAATATCCATTTCAAGCGTTACGTGCTATTTAATTAACTTAAGATATAGGACGAAACTCCACTGACCTCATACATAAAATGTATGAGATAGACAGATTCGTAACTCCACCTAAGAATTATGTATTTCAACAAAATATTTAGGGTTACAAAAAATTTGCATGGAGATTTTCGCAATTTTCAAATAAATTAAGGGGACGCCGAGAGCGCCACTTGCCTACCATCAATAACATTTTGATCATGCGCTTGGTTAATGATTGCACACGAGCGCTACAAAGGCTAGAGACGCCTCTGGTTACGGTTGTCAACTGGTCATACTAGGGGGATGATAATTCGGTTAAACTGGCGTGGGACGGTGTGGTTGTTGAACAAGGAGCAAGGCCAGCAAGGAGAGGGCACACCCCGGCCACGGTAATAATATCATACAGTATTCTATCTTCATACAAACGGTCGGAAAGCGAGTCATACCTACGCCACTCGAGTTCGATGTGCTCTCGGCGTGCACCCAGTCGCGAATGCGCCGCCGCCGCGCCGCAACGACGACCGAACGGTCTGAATTGTTTTTTATGCAGTTAGCCGTGCTTAAACATGCGTTTTGTATTGTAAATATTTGATTTAATTAAGTAGATACCTACATAATTTAGTATGGAAAAGAACAAACGACGATCAATATCGTACAACAGCACAATTGCTGTTTTTGGTTGCTTGAACTCTTCAATAACACACCCAGAGATATCATTTTTTAAATTACCTGAAATATTGGAAAGGTGTCTTACCTTTATAGAATACTAGCTGACCCAGCGAACTTCGTACCGCCCTAAAAAAATAGGGGTTGTCCAGCGGACAAAATTGTGAATCTAAACCATTCTCAGATCCCCTTGAACACACACAAAAAATTTCATCAAAATCGGTCCAGTCGTTTAAGAGAAGTTCAGTGACATACACACTCACAGAAGAATTATATATATAAAGATTTTTTATATACCTATCTACTAGTACGTTATTTGTTTCTAATATTTAGGTATTTCGGTTTTTCCATCAGGCAAAATATCTGGAATAATCTATACTTATAATAAATCTGTAGAGAGGTCAATTCTGTACATGAAATATATTTTCAAAATAACTATCAGGGGGTGATTAGTGATCGATACTGATGCCAAAAATGCAATCAGTAAATTTTTTGTCTGTCTGTCTGTCTGTGTGTATGTTCCTTATAGAAACAAAAACTACTCGACGGATTTTAACGAAACTTGGTACAATTATTCTTCATACTCCTGGGCAGGTTATAGTATACTTTTCATCACGTTACAATCAATAGCAGCAGAGTAGTGAAGGGAAATGTTGGGAAAACGGGAGAAGTTACTCCATTTTTTAAGCTTCCGTCGCGTGTGCAGCCTTAATGGTTAAAGTTACATAGAAATCATGTATGACGGAAATATTCTACATAAAATTGTCTAAAAAATATTCCGCAACAGCATATGTCTAGCTTTTATGGTTGACTCACAATAACACGTGTAATTACATAAATAAAGTCATTGTTTATAGCACAATCCTGAGAACAAAAACTATAGTTTACACTACAGCTCTACACCGAAGCGAAGCGAGGGCGGGCCACTAGTATATAAATAAGTGGTTAGGATGAAAAAAGAGACAAACGAGTAATCTACCTACACTCGCGTTAAAAACAAAACTACATAAAATACTGTAGGCTGGCGGCCCTACCGCGTGCGAACGCAGCGTTCGGTGTAGGCATTTATTTTCAAGGACAGGGCGGAGTCACAATACTGTATAGATAATATTACCGTGCCCCGGCGTTTCAGTGGGTAGCCCCCCTTTCCCGAGCTGCCATTGAACCAGCCTTAGGGTTGCCTGAATGGGTAGGCAGGAGGTGGGGGGAAGAGAAACTAACTTTACCTGTTACTAGGCTTCACAAAATTAATAATTCATTTAAAGGTCTTTTTGTTCGCTTATACAATAAAGTCCCAAGCAATATTCAAGAGTGAGCCATAAATAAATTTAAAGATATTATAAAAAAAACACTTATCAAAAAAGCTTATTACAAAGTGTCTGATTATATTACAGACAAAAATGTTTGGGTTTGAACTGTTCCAATCATTCCAAAAGGGTTTTCTATATTAAATCTATACTTATAATAAATCTGTAGAGAGGTCAATTCTGTACATGAAATATATTTTCAAAATAACTATCAGGGGGTGATTAGTGATCGATACTGATGCCAAAAATGCAATCAGTAAAATTTTTGTCTGTCTGTCTGTGTGTATGTTCCTTATAGAAACAAAAACTACTCGACGGATTTTAACGAAACTTGGTACAATTATTCTTAATACTCCTGGGCAGGTTATAGTATACTTTTCATCACGCTACAATCAATAGGAGCAGAGTAGTGAAGGGAAATGTTGGGAAAACGGGAGAAGTTACTCCATTTTTTAAGCTTCCGTCGCGTGCGCGGCCTTAATGGTTAAAGATACGTAGAAATCATGTATGACGGAAATATTTTACATAAAATTGTCTAAAAAATATCCTGCAACAGCATATGTCTATCTTTTATGGTTTACTCACAATAATACGTGTAACTCCTGATAGCTTAGCAGTTCGGAGCATTCTGATTATATTTGTTTACTCTTACGTTTATAATACTCTCACTCATCCCTAATTTAAAAAAGTTAACATTATTACTTATTCAATAAAAAAAGAATCACAAAAAAAAGAATTAAATAAATAAAGTCAATGTGTACAATACACGCCTGAGAACAAAATCTATAGTCTACACTACAGCTCTACACCGAAGCGAAGCGAGGGCGGGCCACTAGTAAATCATAATTGTATTGACGTTGTAACAACATAATGATTTGTAAATGTTGTTACATTAGACTTTTAATGTTGTGGAGTTTTTTTCGCTCGTTTTTCTCCGCAGCTAAAAAATATGTCCATAACGAGTGGTAGGGAAAAATTTTTTTGGACGATTCAAAAGAGTTGTACTATACATCCAATTTGAATAAAGATATATTGATTTCTGATTTCTGTATGGTAAGGGATAGGTTTAGGCCGGCAAGGTGAGGATGGCTGAAAGCGCGGCAAACTTTCTGCCGCATCATCTATCTTCGCGACTGGACTCCAATTACATTTAACATCAGGTGGCGTGGGGTACTTTGTTGTGACTCGTATAAGAAAAAGGAACAACAATAATACTATAACAATCTATTCTAATTTCTATCGCCAGGTGGCCGAGGAGCTAAATATGGATGGTATTGTACGGGAAGGCGTGTACACGTGTCTCGGGGGTCCCAACTTCGAGACGGTAGCAGAGTTGAACATGCTCAAGATGGTTGGAGTTGACGCCGTTGGAATGTCGACAGTGCACGAGGTTATTATAAAATGTTGTTGTACCTTATTTTATTGCGGCTCGCGGGAAAACATAGGATGAGTCACCTGCTGTTTCCCGTGTAAAAAGTTTGTTAATAGCCCTCACTACAAACGAATGGAAAACTATGGGAAGCTATAGTAAGCGATTGGTTTGCTACTTGTTACTATTGTTTTTCGAACAATAACAAAAACCCAACGTCACCCTACTATAGGGGTGTTATTGAGGTATATTTTTATGTTTCATGGTATCTGCTATCATATGAAGGTTTTTTTTATATAAGACAAGATAAATGTTGTGTCACACAACCAAAATAACTAGACGTAGATATACCTAAATTCCTATAACACACACTTCATCTACTCATGCTCAACCACAGAACGTGTGCTTAAATGATGACTTGCCAATGTATTTGTTTGCTAGACTACAATTTGATATTTTGATGCAGGTGATCACCGCACGACACTGCGACATGAACGTGTTCGCTCTATCACTGATCACCAACGAGTGCGTCACCAGTTACGACGACGCCGAAGCGAACCACGAGGAGGTGCTCGACGTGGGCAAAATGCGACAGGACGTACTGAGGAAGTTCGTGTCGAGACTAGTGGACAGATTCGTTCAAGACGCGACGTCGTCGCCGTGAAACTTTTCACACAAAATTATGAACAAAATCCTAACGCTCTTCATTTCATCTCTTACGCGGTGTGGGTGTTGGTTCCGTACCTTACCCAAGGTCAACTTTCTAAAAATCGGTCATTTTAATTTATCCATTTTTTAAATTCATTCCTTTACCAACGTGTTTTCGTTTTTCAAGACGCCAGGTGAACGGAAATTATCCTTTAGGTATGTTACGATTGCTTTGAGTGTCAAAGTATGCGGTATAAAATAAGCATATTAAATAGACTATATCGCTTCCCGGCAAGAAAAGTGTCACAACACACATTGGGTACAATAAGACATAATCACAGCACTAAATAGCGCGTATTTCATTTGTTCGGCTGCAAAAACGTCATTATTATGTTGCGTTTTGTTAACGCTAGATGGCATTAAGTTCTCTTTTTCACGGACCCGTTTCGCTCCGATCACCGGCGTGAACAGTGTCACATTTGTGTTAATACAGAGTAAACGTGTACTGTGTCGCCAGAAAAGCGTATTAACGTGTGATGTGACTTTTTAGCGGTAAGTTTTACGTTGAAATATTAGAACTATTACGAAAAAGGCGACACAATCTGTGTTATGACTGTATTGTTGATGAAAAAGCATTGTAAATATTGCCACATCATACAGAAAACAGACATAATCTGTAAAGTGTCTCTTTTTTGGCTGTTTCTGCTCTATATTTTTGTTTTCAGAGATGTTAAAAAAATGCAACACATGTTATGTCATTTTTATTGTAAATTTAAAAGAAAAGTCACGAGTAATAAGTTGTGTTATGTCTGTTTTTCTGTATAAAATTAGACTCAATGTTAATGCCACGTGTTACGTGGCGTGTTTTTTATGTATTTTTATTGAATAATGTAATCAAAAATTTGTTTCTACTTGTCTTTACTAACAGTGTATTTTTTTAAGCGCCTACTGACATGCCTGCCGCAGGGACAATCTAGGGTGCACGGCGGTCGGGGCGATATCGGCTTGTCTCTACACACATGCCTGCTATTCAGTGTTCGGGCGTATGTTGAGCTAAACACACGCGTTGATGATGGTCCCAGTGTTATCAAAAAATATGTTACCGTAAAAAAGGAGATACTGGGTGAAGAATTGGCAACAGAAAGAAATGTGTTGTAAATAAGTAATGTTTATGTTATGCGAAAAAAATCCACGCGGACCTGGCAGCAGACGGGACTCGAACCAGCACCCTTCGCTATCCGGGCGAATGCACTGATTAGTTATGCTACCGCGGCTACCGCTACTTTCTAGCCTTTCTTAAGCTGCAAGGCAGCGCCATCTCTTCGCATTATATGTAACTCACAATGTCAAATGAATACCCTTACAAGTATTAAACATTTAAAAAAAGAAATAGCAATTAAAGTCATAGTTTTAATTTTTTAAGCATGTAACTGCTCAATATTTGAATCTAAAGAAAATATTACAAAAAAAAAATAAAAAAGAAACCATTTCTATTTTTCTAGTAATATTTTCTTTAGATTTAAACATCGAGCAGTCACATACTTGAAACATGAAAATTAATTTAAAAAAAATATAAATAATGTTTATTTTTTTTATCCCACATGTGGGGCCGGTCTTTATATACTTCGATCACTCGTGTCCAAACTTCATGCTCATTATGATCTGCCGCCATCTTGATCAAAATACGTGCGCTGCGTGTGACAGCTACTAACCGACTGATTGAGAAATTGCCCCAATCGCGCTACACACGCGGCTACGTGCAGGGCGGTTGGGACAATCTAGGAAGCAAGCGCGCTCCTGCCACCCTGCCGCAGGCCCGATTTAGAAAATTGCCCCAACTTGCCTACACACATCACAATTCAGGAGGCAATTAAGGGTCATCCCCACTCTTACACCCTAGATTGTCCCTGCGGCAGGCGTGTCAGTAGGCGCTTTTATGGTCAAAATGAATTATAACAATAGCCAAGCAGCACTGATGATACAACTGGTTATAGAGAAATACTGGTATAACGAACTAAATATTTGTAATCAAAATGCTACCAAAGACGATGATGTTTTAATGCAAGATTAGTGTTTTATACTATAGTAATATAAAATAAATAAATATAATGTTACGTACAATATTTGAGTGAACTGAGTGACAACACCTTAGTCTACCTAAGACCACGAACGCTGTAAAGTGCTCGAAACGTCAGGTTAAATAAAATGTTATTGAACCGCGAAATAATCCGTAAAAGCAGTTTCATTTAAATGATATTTTAATTAAAAAACAGATTGTTTTGTTAGTTTTTCATATTTTAAAAACATCTGAAAAAGAAGGTATTAATTTACTTATTATTTCTTGTTGTATGTACCTAACTTTAAAGAGTAAAGGCAGTTTAAAAATAAAAGTACATACTTAATGATGATGATTTCTTTAAGATCATATCATAGGTATGTATCATCATAATTATGTTACATAAAAATAATGTCATGTTAGTTATAACATTTTTATTTAATGTTTTTGGCTAAATACTGAGTAACACTGATTGTTAATTAGTACAGAACTTCGGAAGGTCGTTTTTGATGTTTTTATTTTATTTTATAGAAAAGTTTATAATTTGGTTACTTTTCATTATGTTTTGTTAATATTGAGCCTTTTAAATAAAAATAATTGTGATTAGACAAACATTTAAATGTGTATTATTTTTAAAACTACAGACATTTTAATCGAAAAAGGAGTCATAATATAGTTACATCAAATTAATAGCTTCTTGAAAGTTACTTAAAAAAATGTATATATTGTTGTTCAATTTTAAGCCATATAATAAACATATAAATAATCTATTTATATATAAAATTTCAATTATCTTACTATTATAGTTTTTACATTATTGATGTTTAAATGAACAAAAATCTATTCAAATTACATTTTCTCGAAACAGCTATTTTTGTATTATGACACTTTTTTTGCCGGGAAGCGATATGTTTTGATTGCGTCGAGGTACTTAGAAGTTTTTACACTAATCCAAGGGACCTACTACTGACTGTAGTGTGTCTTATATGAATTTCAGTTTGATATCTCCCCGCATTCCCGATATAAAGGGTTTTGACAGAGGGTCAATAAAGTGATCCTAAAAGGGTTCAGTAGGCATTTCTCTCTTATACGAAACCCTAAAATAATGGTTCCGGACCAAAAACTTACTGTTTCGCGTAAGAAAAAACACCCTAAGTAGGTACTTTTGATTTTGATGACATTATGATGTAGTAAATTATGAGTTTAGGATAGGTATAATCTACTTAGGTACTCGATTTAAATAGAAAATTGTAAAACGGGAAAACCATAACATGACACCTACTTATTGTAATTAAATGTTAATGTCGATGGCGAAACAAATACACAACCAAGTCATATATCAATAATTAAACAAAAAAAAAATCACATCAGATTTTTGGGCTATAACAAATTTTAGGTAAGAAAGACTAAGAAATATTTATGCCAACAGATACAGATCAGGCGCAGTAGTCAAGTGGCCGAATTTTCTTCTATACGAGCGAAGGAGTTATTTTTTAAAGTTAAAAGTCTTTTCAATTCCGTACAATAATCATATATGTATTTGTTTATTATACCTAAAGCTTACGATAAGTAATTTCATTGTTAACATTACATTTAAAGTTTATATTTTAACAGATCTAACTCTATTGTAATGCCATTTAAACTAGTTTTATTTATGTAATGCCATCATTAAGTGATTTTGTCTATAATAGTAGGTAGGTAGATAATTTTCTAAAGTTATTACAACTGCGCCTTATAATTAAGTTTTAGTTAAAATTGGCGTTTAATTTATCTAGCATTAATGTGTTTTAAGGTAGGCAATTTAGAAGAATTTAATGAAAATTACAATTTGTGTGTAAAATTATTAAAAAGAAATAAGAATACATTAAAAATAAAGTATTTTATTTATGCCCATACACTTAAAATAAGAATAACAATAAATTATTTATGTACACAATATTTTTAACAAATAACAAATTCAACAGGCATATTTTATTTATAAATGCATTTCATTAAAAATAAATTATTTGAGAGGATGCTTTTTAGGGCAAAGGTGTGCAAATTCCTGACAGGCATCTTCAATGTTTTCATATCTGTATTTGAAACCGTATTCTAGAACCCTCTTTGGAATTACGTATTGGCCTTTGGTCATTAGCATGGCACGTTCGGAATTCAATAAGAAATTGAGTACTGATTCAGGAACAGGCAAGAAGGCTGGTCGTCGTAAAGCTTTTGCAAATGACTGAAAAAAAAGATAATATATGAAAGATTAGCGGGCCATCCACTACCGTTCATTCCTGCTGGAATCTATAATACGTACGAATTGAATGCTATTCAATTGCTTGCTCGCTCTCGCACATCGAGTACCACTCAATCCGTACGGATTATAGATGCCGGCAGGAATGAGCGTTATTGAATGACCAGGTATTATGCTGTTGCTTTCCTTAAAATAGAAAAAAGAATGACACAAAACTTCACATCTTTTATTACTCATTTTTAATCTACAGACTTTTGGACACTTTAATTTGCCAAGCATTCAGTTTAATTGGTGTCTTGAAGACAGCCATTACTTTACTTTTAACTTACTTGTGTAAACTCTTCATTAGTAATAACTTTGGGGGATACTCCATTAAGCACCCCTTGGACATTGTCATTCTCCACAGCAAACTTAATGAGACCCGTGAGGTCATCAATGTGAATCCACGGCAAATACTGTTTACCGGAACCAATACGTCCTCCAAAACCTAAGTAAAATGGCACGAACATGTTCTTTATCATGCCACCCCACCGACCAAGCACTACTCCAGATCTGATAATTACCTAAACATCAAAAAAAGGTGAGTTTGTTGTCCAGTTCTTATATGACTGGTTATCACTATAACTGGTTGGTTACAAATATAGGCATATAAAAATAATTAAAACATGTAATATTAACTGTCCCAGCGAACTTCGTACCGCCATAATAAAATAGGGATTGGTGGTAGAAGGGTGAAAATTAATGGTTGTATTGTATATTGTATGATGTATCATAAAAAAATATATACAAAAATTTTGTCCAGAAAAATAATATACACAGTCAGGTCATAAGTATTGTCTCACACAGTAAAGACTTTTCTTTTAGAATGCTGACCACAAAAAAGTTTATTGAATTCGAATTGTTCATGAAAAGAAAAATGTATACTTTTTAGAATTTTACTCATTTTTACCCGACTGCACAATGCAAAAGCGCGAAGCGTGACGCGCAGACAGGGTATAGTGTTTAACAGTCTTTATATGTATGTTTGTTCCTTTGTGGCAAATTAGAGACCAAACGCGTGGACCGATTTTGATGATTTATACATCAATCAATTCGTCTTAATCATGGGAGTGCTACTAAAGATATGATAATAATCAAAAATCAATATGGAGACAACAGGGCGCCATATTGTGAGAAAGAAAAAAAAATAAGTGGCCGAAATATGTCGAGTGGGGTATCATTGTCTAGATAATCGAAAATCATGTTTAGGTTCCTTACACCATTTTTCATTTTATATGATTGTTTAGGATCTACAACGATTTAAAGTTGTATATTAACCACTTGCGCTTGTAATTTCAATCTTACGTTTGTACGGATTTTTGTAACTCTTTCACTCAAAAAACACTAAATGGATTTTAATCAAACTAACCAATAATAAAGCTCATACATAATAATAGCATATAGATTATATTGTTATTTGGTGAATTGGCCAAAATATAACAATAAGTGTCACGTGAGACGGAAAAAATCTCCCATCTGCGAGCCATTTTGGCCTGCACTGCAAAAACAAAGTTTCATGAATATAATGTATTGTGGAATACTATCTCTTATATAGTTCTACAAAAAAGTCCAGGACAGCATATATCTATTTTTAATGTGTAAACCATTATGGCTAAAATAGTGAATCAAAAATAAAATATTATTAGTAATAAATTTCCAAAAATGCATATTTGGAAAAATAAATTATTTTTTAGTAAAACAAATACTTTTATCGCTTTTGATATTTAAAGACGATAAACTTTGCCTTTTTTTCTCTGTAATTTCGACAAATATTTAAAAAGTTACAACGATGTTACGATGACAAAGTGATAGCGCGTTGTGCTATGCAGGAGTACGAGTATACTGCGGGAATGGTGGGAAAAGTGATGAATTTTGGTGTTTATAAACGTAGATAAAACCTAGGAGGAAAAGAAGAAAAATGGGCTACTCACAGTATCTAATCCTATACGAATTACTTATATTAAATGATGAAAAATAAGTTATTATAATAGGTATTTATATTTTTTTAAATATAATGAAAAACTGAGAATGAAACAGTTTTCAAAGTTTATTTTAACGATATTACTTCATATTATTCTGCAGATAATTCTGCAAAATTCGAAGCAAATAATATAAAGTTTTATAGGTAAATCACCCTACCCCTATAGATATTTCGATAATGTAGCTTAGAACCAAGGCCCCATCTATTTCTATAGGGAAATTCATCATAATCGATTTAGCTATTAGGGCGCGGAATCGTAACAAACAAACTCACTTTCGCATCTATAATATTATATTATACTAGTGATCCGCTCCGACATTGCATGGGCGAAATTTATTTTAACGGGATAGAATACAGCCTATGTCACTCGAATATAATGTAGTTATAATAAAGAAAAAAAAAATACTAAAAAAATCCTCTCATAGAAGTTGTTAGAATTTTTCAAGTAAAAGTTTCTTTAGTTTTATAAATCGAGCAGATTAATCAACTTATTAACCTACCTTATGGTGAATGAATTTTCGAAATCGGATCAGGTTTGAGAGATTATATGTTACACACATACAACTCTTGCCTCTTTATAATACCTACCTATTAGTATAGATAGTTAGGATAATAATATTTAACCTTTGGCGCCTACATATTAGGTTCTGTGAATTATGTAAGTAAAACAAATTATGAGACAAGGATATGCACTGCATTTCTGTATATCACAATCTTCGAGTTGCATACAGCCACTGCCAATTTAGATAGTCGACGAATAAAAGAAAATGAATTTTTTATTTACTACTAAAAAGAACTTATGTTCTTTTAGGCAAAAGATGACTTTTTGAATAAATACGGAAAATAAGTACTAGTTAAGTATATATAATTTATATTCATTAGATATACGGATAAGGAATTGATTTAACTTTACACATTTTTGCGAAAATTGAGGCCTATAGGGCCTTGACCCTGATGGTAAGGTGTCGTTTAGACCACCGCAAGGTACTTAATAATATAATCCGCTTGATATTAACTCCCTTATTGAAGTGACAAGACTGCAGTATATACCGTCTTAAAATCCTATCTAAAAAGTGTAAAATAAATAAGGTAAATTAAAAAAATCAAAAAACCTGACTGCTTAAATATTACTTCAAATAAAAACTGAAAAGAAAAAAACAAATCCAGTAGTCTATAATTCTGTTAAGTAAGGAACAAAGCTACTTTAACAGTCGGGCCCCATTATTAAAACAAAATTATCCATCCTTGAATATCTAATGGGTCCCAACTGTTAAAGTAGCTTTGTTCCTTACTTAACAGAATTATAGACTACTAGACTTGTTTTTTTCTTTGCAGTTTTTATTTGAAGTAATATTTAAATATGGAGTGGACGCTTAAAGAAGACCGTGTTGCAGTTATTGCGTTGCATCGTTGCGGTTACGCGATAGTTAAATTTTTTGACATACTGAAAAAATTTAATATAACCAAAAGATTCGTTTATCGTACCATCAAATGATACAATGTAGACTCTAGTGAAGATGACAGGTCAAGAAGTGGTCGCCCTCGGTCTGATAGGACTCCAGCAGTGATAAAAGCTGTGAAGGCGCGAATTCAAAGAAATCCCAAACGTTAGCAGAAACTGTTGGCCCTTCAGATGGGGTTAAGCAGAACCACGGTGAAAAGGGGGTTAAATGAAGACTTAGGGCTTCGGCAATATCGAAGAAAAACAGGCCATCGTTGGAATGCTCGTCTAATGGACTGAAGAGATGCCGCGCTTTGTTGAAGCGGTACGCGGGAAAAAAATATCGAGAAATTCTTTTTTCGGATTCTCAGACCTACTGAATATGCATATAAAATTTCACGAAAATCGTTCGAGTCATTTCGAAGTATCTAGTTCAATTATGAACACCGTGACACGAGAATTTAATATATTAGAGATATTTTATGCATTTAACTGCTAGATGTTTAAATCTTAAGAAAATTTCAGTAGTAAAAATTCCACACGGACCAGACAGCAAACCCCCACACGACAAAGCCGTTAGGGCCGCGGTAGCATAATGGTCAAATGGGATCATGGCCCAGAAAGCTTAAGGTGTGGCTGCCTGGTCCGCATGAAAGTTATTCTAATATTTTTTTTTACATTTAAACATTTAATATACCCAAGTACTGAGTACCAGCTTCTGTAATTACGAAATTTAAACTTTTAGTTTCACAAGTCACATGCTTGTATTAAATTGGCAGTTGCTTGTATACTAAGATGAGAAATAGTCATTAACTTACAAGCCTCACAGGAGGATCTACGCAAGCAGCTTTTTCCCATTCGACAGTGAGTCTAGAGAAGAAGTCAATGCCAGTGGTGGGGCTGCTTTCATCATACTTATTTCGTTCTGAGGGCTCATAGGCACCGACTCCGGTCACCAAAACAAAAACTTTTGGTTTGTCTTTGCTCTGATTAATAGCTTTAGCCAATGCTTTTGTTGTATAAATTCTAGAATTCTGCACATTTTGTTTGAACCTGAAATAATAATCATTGTAATAATAATATGGCAATGAGTAAATGTCATGGAAAGATACAAAATATTATTTTTGTGACCAATCAAAAAATGAACAGCTTGCATAATCTACAGATATTTGCTTTACTCAAAATCTTAAAATATTAAAAATATATGGGCTATCTTAAATGTATTTCCAATCCTGTTATTTAACTTCAGTATTTTGTAAGGTGAAGGATACTTTCCCACATAGAACTTTATTTCTATTTATTAACTGATATCACAACATCGCAACATCACATCGCAACAGGCGCACATCCAATTATTCCTCATATTGGATAAAAAATTATCCTGTTCAGTATGTTCTAGTTTCATCAGAACTACTTTTAAATGAATTTGCAAGCATGCTAGCTACATTATTTATAAATAGTAAATTTTAATTAATTTGAAAGGGCATATGACCTTTATAATAGTAAATAGGTTTGTTTCAGTTACTTGCCCAGGTGTCCAGCTTTTAGTGAAGTCCATGAACTGTTGTCCAGCAAGGTTTATCACAGCACAGGTTCGTGTTGGCAATCCAGATAGTTCTAATTTAGACCAAGAGATGTTGCTAGTACCAGGCATTCGAGCCACATTCATGACATTGTAGCCATTAGCTATAAGGAGCTCCCCTAAATTCTTGCCAATAAAACCTGTTCCACCACCTTGATAAAAAGCATAATAAAGCAAATTAAATTATAAAAAAAACACACTAAAATACTACAGCTTTAGGACCATTTGCAGTAAATTTGCTAAATCTTGAGTCCAACTAAAATAAGATGTAATTAACATAGAAAAATGATAAAATGTCTATGCCAACTTAACATGATTGTATAGGATGAAACTAGTTTTAGTTAAATTAAGATCAAGCAAAATTCATGCAAGTGTGCCAAAATATTAACTTATAGTATTCTCTACCATGTATCGCAAAACTTTTAGTGTCATAATATTAATTTGCATATTAGCCGGTGGCATCAACTTAATTTTGGTAGAAAATTATTTGGTATACACTCATAGAGCAGAAATTTAAACTCATAATTTTGTTAGCCACAATCAGCTTTAGACTTAGCTTTCATATCCAGGTCAAGTTCACAGCCAGAAACACACAGTGGAATACAATAAAGAATATGCATGTTTTTTTTTTATTTTTTTATTTAGTAGTTTACATCTGCTTTATATTAAAAGTGGCTGCTGTTTTGCATCCTTATCAGGCTACTGTTAGTTCTGACAACGCAGCCTGAAAAGGATCAGAACGTCATAATTATATTAATCAGTGCATCTATACCGTTGAAACTTGTTTTATTTAAATAGGTAGTATAGTGTCAAAAAAATGTAAAAAATAGCCACTTTCCACAGGCAATTAAACATTTTCAAATGCTTGTTAGGCATAAATAATGTGACATCACAATACATTTAAACCTATAAACAAGATCCAACCTTACAAGATACTGTCATTTTTGCGTTCCATACCTTCACTTCAGATGAAAGTTAGAACCTACGTCAATCAAAAAGAGATTATATTTCATACATTTTTGGTAAAAAATGAAATGTCATGGATATACTGTACTTCCAGGGCCCAAGGGGTGATACTTGAATTTTTTTGTAGAAAAATTCATCTAAAAAAGATTATAATAAAGTGTGATATGCTAAATGCGTTTAGGAGCAACAAGATTCTGCCAGATAGAAAGAACGGGCTCAGCTTTCCATTAGTTGTGGTTGAGTAGCGAGCTAAGATTTTTGTCACAGAAAGTATTAATTATTAGGAACACACACGAAATCTTTTTATTTGAAAACGAATAGAACTTGAGAAAATAAATATTGAAAATTAATATTTTTGTAGGTTAAAGTCAATTTTGACAGCCATTTTGATCAGTGCTGCCATTTTTTCATGCAGAAATAACATGTTTCTCGTTAAAAAATATGTTGATTATGTTGGTACTATGGTCAAAATGACATCCTGCCATTTTGTGTTTGTTTTGAGAAATGTCAGTCAGTCTGTGTTCGTCGGTAAAAAGTATATTTGCTATTATTTACTTGGTAAATAAGAAATAGTATGGGCTCCTTTATATCTTTAATTCAGAACCGACTTTGTCAACCCCGACACGCTGTGGTCTTGGTCTGCCCTACCCCTAGAGTGTTTTTTAGAGCCCAGTGGCGCGTAGGGAGAGCAGCCCCCGTCTGCTGTGACAAAGCCGCAAGCATCGTGCGACCCGTAGCGCCCGAGGCTTGTGACTTTGTCACGCAAAGGCGGAGGGGCTGCTATTCCCGCAGCGCCGGAGATAAGGCAGAACTACTGGTTCTTACTTCCCTAGTCCTTGCATCCTAAAAAAATTATGAATTTTTAGGTTAGGTTAATTAAAAAAAAACATGCATTTCCGACTAAAATCTTTAGTAGGGGGGGAGTCGGGGAGACCCCCTCCTCCCCCCCACATCAAAACTACCCCGAAATTCCACCACAACTAACGGAATTTAGTACCAAAGAACTCATAATAGCTAATAGTGAAATGTAAATTATGGCAAATTGCCCAGTATTAAAATTTTAAGAGAACATAAACACCGGTAAAGAGGCAATGACATGGCTGAATCATTACTAACTACTACATACCATTCGATTTGCACATAATATATCCTGCCTGCACAACCTTTACAATCATCCTAACCAGATACAGAGATATTTCAATAGTTTTTAAACATAATTTCATGATTTTATTTACGTACCGATTAAGATATTCCTTGCTGCCATGTTATGTAATTTTCAAGCAAGGTCGATAATTAGTAAATTTAGCCTACTTTTTATAAATATTATTTTTCAAAATGCGTACTGTTATTTAAAGGGATAAATTAAAACGATAATTATAAATTTAACAAATAAAAACAAATCCTTGTTTTTAAAAACTGTGACAAGTGACTTTTTTTTTTGTTGAAGTTCTCCCGTTTAGGGAAGGCAAAGGGAACAATGCCCATACAGCCTAGTCTTTAATTAAATTAATCTTCTTTTTTTTTACATTAGAATGTCGGTGTGACGCATTCTAATGTTTCTTGGAGTGTTTGGCACGAAATGTATCGAGTTGGCTTTTTCGATAAGCTTCTGTGAGGTAGTCAACACTACAATAAAATTCTCACGTCCGCTTGACCGGAATAGCGTATATTTTAACGATTCCACTAATTCTTCAGTTACGCAGACGGTTGTTACACAAAACCACACCAATTTTATTTCACAATATCCACTATGAACGAATTTAAGAATAATTAAAATAAGACGCCAACCGCACTCGATGAAATCCCGCCAAAAAACCCTTTTTTTGGAAGGTTTTCCTTTCTTCGTTCTAAGTTTTCCCCATTCTTCTGTGTTGATAAATTTTATAACGTTATATTTGAATTATTTAAATATTTAACAAGCGGTTTAAAACATGTATTATTGAGCAGTTTAGGCAGAATATTGTCATCACTAATATCACTTGATAAAACGTTATTCAAGCTGTCAGTCTGAGTCAATGTCACTTTAGTTCACTGGCCAGTAAAAGTCTGTTTAATTTAAAATCTTGATGACGGCATTTCAGAATCAGATGATTCAAGTCTGCTCCTTCCTCTTCGCAGAATATGCATTTGGAATCTCTGGCAATTCGGATCTTGTGTAGATGAGCAGGAATTTTACAGTGACCAAATACGTAGTATCTCTAACTAGTCTGTGGACCAAATCTCATGCGGCAGGTGGTGGTAATAAAGTTGCGGTTTAATTTCCTCTAAGTTGCATAGGATGATACCACGGACGGGCGGGCAATGTCTTCTGTATGTCGTGGTACCATTTCCCTTTCTCTGAAGCAACATGATGCCAATAATTGGACCACAACAGTTTGTGGGACTCAGTTATATAAGTGTTAAAGTCGGTGTACGGTACTCTGCAAATTTGAGTATGATCTTCATCAGGTTTGTTATGGGTAACGTTATCTACAACCTCGTTACCAGTTATGCCTTGGTGTGATGGTACCCACAGAAAGTTGATCATCTTCCCTTTGCTTTGCAATATGTGCAATTGGTTTCTTATATAAAAAATTAAGTAGTTTAAATTATGCCTAAATACGTTACTTCCTAAACTAGACAAAACACTTTGAGAGTCCGTTATTATGATAAAGTCTATATTATTTACATATTCTATGAACAATAATGCTCTATATATTGCATAACATTCTGCAGTAAATATGCTGCAGTTAGAATCTAACTTGAAACATACTAAAAGTTTAACTTGGGGGTCATATAAAGCAGAAGTTACAGTGTCTGTAATTTTAGATCCATCTCTATAAATATTGTAGTGGGATGGTAGCTTTTCAAATAGCTGTAATAGATCATTTTGTTCAAATATCCTTCGAGGAATTATAGTTACATTGACATCTATTAACTCCTTAACATTGACTGGTAGAGAATGCCATATTGTCATTAAGTCAGCCATTTGCAGTGTAAAGGCAATAAAGATTAAATAAAATAAAATAACATTAAATTTGTACAAAGGATGAGGTTTGGAATAAAATATATTTACAGTTCTTTGTTTAACATGAAGGATAATTCTTAACAACTCAGGAAATTGACCTGTTGCTAATTGATTTGCTTCAACATATTGACCAATAATTGTAAGATGTTCCTGGGATAAGATTCTAATCAAGTATAGCATTGATTTCTGTTGCTATTAATTTGAGACTGAACTTTTCTGCAATTTTTAGCCTGTGTAGAGCCAGTGGCGGAATACCAGATTCAACTTCCATTGAATTTATAGGAGTGGAACACATTGCCCCTGTGATGATTTGTAATGCCTGATTTTGAAGTATGTCCAGTTTTCTCAGTTTTGTACAATTTGTATTTAAATATGCAAGGCAACTGTAGTCAAAATGACTACGTAAAATACTTTTATAAAGCATAGAAAGTGTATGTGGATCTGCACCCCAGTGTACACCAGCCAAACAACGCATAACATTTAAGCCTTTTGTTGCATTTTCTGAAATGTATGTTATGTGGCTTTCAAATGTGAGTTTTTGATCTAAAAACACTCCAAGAAATTTCTTTTCAGTTAGCCAAGAACATTTAGATTGTTATATTTAACATGAATATTACGAATATTGGCCTTTTTACTAAATAACGTGGCACCACTTTTGCTAGCATGAATTTTTAATTTAAGTTTGTCCTCATAAAAGTTTTTAATCTGCACAAGCCCTATATTTAAATTATTAACAGCTATATTTACATTGTGATCCTTAGTATATAATACAATATCATTTGCAAATTGTAAAAACTTTAAATTTCTGTGTGTTAGGTACTGCATAATTTGACTAGTATAAATATTATATAGCAAAGGGGAAATACAGGCACCTTGCATTGTACCTTTATGTACAAAATTTGGCCCATGAAGTAAATTATTAAATCTAACAAACATTTTCCTATTAAATAAAAACTTAAATATCCATTTACATATATTTACAGGGAAACCTAATTCTAACAAGATATTTACAAGTACTACAGGATTAACATTGGCAGAGTGTGTGGGCATCATTAGTGCCGCAGAGGCGATAGACTGCTGCGGGGTAAGAGGAAAACATATTCGTATTCTCTCTGACAGCGCTTCTGTCCTACAGGCACTAGACAACAATATAATGACATCAGGGTTAATTTACGAATGCCACTGTAAGTTATCCAATATTTGCAATGACAATAGACTGACCTTACAATGGATTAAGGGACACAGCGGCTCAAGGGGTAACGATGTGGCTGACTGCCTGGCTAGAGAGGGGTCCAGCAGGACGGCCATTGGCCCGGAGCCAATTGTACCCATACCTTATCGACAGCTGAGAACCTGGATAAGGGAGCGCTGTCAATGACAACACGATGAATATTGGGCAAAACACACTGACTGCAGGCAAGCTAGGGAAGCTGTTCCTAAGGTAAACCAGCAGCTATCACGTAAGTTAATCCGACTACCTAGACAAGCCCTGAAACAAATCGTGGTTATACTCACGGGTCACGGCTACTTCAACAAACACCTTTATAATATAGGTATTTCTGACAGCCCTCTGTGCAGAGCCTGCTTGGAGGAAGAGGAGACGAGCGCCCATGTTCTGCTGGAGTGCAGAGGCGTTGCAAGACAAAGGACTTCTCTAATGGGAAGCCCGCGGACACTAGTAGAAGCCTGCAGCAACAGCCGGGGACTGCTGAGCTTTTTGGAGGAGCTGGGATGGCAGGACTGATGCCAATCCCCACGCAAAATAGGCACTGTGTGTCGAGTTGCGGAAACAGCCCGCCATTCTACTAAGACTCAGGATTAACATTATCGAATGCACCCTGGATGTCCAAGAATACACATGCAGTATTGAAATGGCTGAAAAACGAATTCTTGATATCTGCTATTAAAGAAATGAAATTATATGTAGCACTATGGCCTTTTCGAAAGCCAGATTGTTGGTCAGGTATAATATTATTATATTCTACATACCACTCTAATCTTATTATCAGCATGTACTCAAATATTTTTCCAATACAAGATGAGAGTGCTATAGGCCTATATGAATTATAATCATGCATTGGTTTGTCTGGTTTAAGTATTGGTATGATGCATTGTGTCTTCCAGGACTCGGGGATTTGTAAGTTACTCCATAAGAAATTATATATTTTAAGTAAAACCTCTTGTGCATTAGGATGCATATTTTTCAACACCATATGTAATTTTATCCAAACCTGGACTAGTATTACTCCTATTTGATAGAGCACTTTGTAACTCCTTCCATGAGAATGGTTCAGTTAAAAATGAGTTGAAATTATTATTATTTTCATTACTAAATAATGTATTTAAAATATCTTGTTCATTTTCTAATGTAGCTACTGGTGATTATTTTCCTATGAATTGTGGTATCCATTCATCAGATCTAAATTTACTGTCAAAACAAATATGTTTAAATCTTTTTATATTTTTCCAAATAATGCTAGCTGGTGTATATCTATTGAATGATTCACATAGCTTATGCCAACTAGTTTTCTTTTTGTCATGGAGTAACAGTTTTTTCTGTGCATCAACTTTTTTATAGTTAATGTAACTTTCAAGCGAATCTTCTGATCTGTATTTGTAGAATGCACTTCTACTGCGTTTAACTGCTTCCAAACACTCGCTATCCCACCATGTAACAGGTTTTCTGGTAGTGTGATGAGAGTCTTTTTTATATTTTGGTATACATATTGTCGTGCATTCTAACAATTTATTATAAAACATGTTGTAAGTGTCTAAAGGATCATTAAATTGAAGTATAGTAAATTCTTTTTCTGTTACAGATTTAAAACGGGACCAGTCTGCCCTGTGGTATAAAAACTGATCACATGGAGTACCTATAACATATTTCTCAAAGGACAGTTGTATCTTGGTGATGGTTGGAAAGTGATAACTACCCATGGGATCGTCATGTACTTCCAGTCACAGAAGGGTGCTAGAGTAGGGCTTATACATGTTATATCAATGGCTGATTGATGATGGTGGACAGATCCAATAGTAGTGGGAGAGCCAGTATTTAAAATACACAAATCAAATTCATCTAATAGATTATAAATCTGATTTCCTCTAGAAGAGGTTGATCTACAACCAAAAGCTATATGATGAGCGTTTAGATCACCTGCTAGCATTAATGGTTTTGGAACATATTTTAAAATATTTTTTGAAGCATTGACCCCAAAATTATTGTTTTTTCCTGATGGTGGAGTGTATGCAGTCAAGATAGTTAAGGAACCCAGATTTGTTACTATATTAACAGCAGTGCTTTGTATAAAGTCATAGTAAGGTGTGGATATTACATTGTACTTAAAGGTATCCCTTATTAGTATAGCCACTCCAAC